TTTCATTCTCTAATAGGCCGATTGCGTCCGCTAAGTCGCGTGACTTGTATGTACTGCATATACACATGTACATGTATAGTGGGTCAGTAACAAAGCCAATTTACGGAAGAATACCAGGTACCAAGCACATCAGTAGTCTGAGTATGGTACCCGGTACCAAGCACATCAGTAGTCTGAGTATGGTACCCGGTACCAAGCACATCAGTAGTGTGTTTGATATTTAATACCTGCAGGCACTATAAGTCACGTGACTTAACGGGCGCAATTGGATTCAAACACCATAAAAATCTGTCCATGTGATATCTGTCCATGTGACAAACATGATGTCTGTCCAGTGACAAATGTTTGTACGTGTATTCATGAAATAAATGTGCATGTTATATCGGTATATTTGAATTGCTTTTGTGAGATTATAAAAGTCATACAGGTCAATTCATGCACACTGCAGGTACATGTAATTATCAATCATATTTTGAAATTAATCTTCATGTTTAAGAAACAAAGAGTCTGTCCATGTGACACACATACAGTATCTCCAAGAATAAATTTCTGTACCAGGTCACTTCTTAAATATTACTCAAGTTATCTTTCTGTGGTTACAATCAGAAACAGTGAAGACATACTGGTATGCAAAATATACATGTACATGTAATGGCTAAATTTTACACTTGGAAATTTGTATTGCACGTCATACAGATGTACTGGTGTGTTTAAGTGTGGACAGAGCCACAAGCAATACGGTTGCATTTTTATAATTAATGCAGTTGAGAAGGTTCCCTAGGACTTACAGTACACCGTATGTACATGTACCGGTACATGTGCGATATGTACACATACATGTACACCTGTTGATTCAACCCTTTTCTTTGGTGGGCTGCTTGAAGTAGCTCTGGCCAATTTTCTAGCCTAATTTACATGTACATGCAAGTTAGTGAAGCAGTTTGTCAAGTGGCTCATAAATAAGCAGTGTGTGTACACATACAGTATATTGTGCAAGTGCATATTTACTGGTACTGTACAAGTACATGTAATGTACTATACAAGTTCACACACTGTATGATGTGTAATGTACTGTCCATGTACATGTATTATAACTCCATTTGACATATATATGTACGGAGTTGAAGCCAGATTTTTAAAACAAATTTTCTTATTGAATGTCAATACGAGTTCAAAGAGGAATGACTGGAAACTACAATGAACAGGTTCAGTGGTGCATGACATGTAAAGGCCATGTACATAAACAACAGGCGTCCAAAAAGGAAATTCAAAATAATATGATCCAAATGTCACTAGAACACCCACATGACTTACAGTACATGTACCCACTAATCTGAGAGACTACCGGTAGTGTGTACCACTGCACATACTATGTGCATGGTACGGTACATGTACATGTACATCAACACACACGTACCGGCATACATGTACTATTGGACTAGTAAGTCCAACGTACATGGTACATGTACACTGTGCATAATGTATGTGATAATATACACTGTACATGTACATGTAGGGCCTACATGTACATGGTACATGTACGCGTTAGATACCAGTAGGCGAATACATGTACATATAGCAGAAACTCCAGGAAACTGCATCCTTTTTAACTGCACTCACCTGTTAAATTGTATTCATTTAAAAATACAAATTTAGTGATACATACATGTACTATTCCTGTACTCATACCAGTACTGGTACATGTACAGTACATGTATACAATGTACATGTGCATGTGTACAATGTACATGTGTACGCCTATGGTACAATGTACAATAAGTAGGCTCACATGTACAGTGTACATGGTACATGTACACGTATGTTGTAAAATTTATGTTAGTCTTTTCCCTCTAGTAATTTCTTTTAGTAATCTTGTTTTTACTTTAACAAGTAGTCTATGGTATTTTTTGTGAACAAGTACACTTGTAGCCGTTATCAATGATGATGAAAGAAATATGCATACATGTAAATTGAACTTTGGTCATACAGCGTTTGATTCTTTCCAATTTTTTGGTATTGCTGAAAAAGAAAAGTTTGTTAAACACTCTCGAACTAGCTCCTCAAACAACAGCTTACTCCCAACTGTTGTGCAAGGTAATGTACAATTGCATGTGAAATCAGCACTCGTCATCTTTGTACATACTGGTACATGTCCATGTACACCCTGTACATGTATGCATGTATACATGTATTCATTAATAGAATCAGGCCCCTAACCCCTAGTCCAATTCCCAGTGCATTGACGCAAAGCGCAGACTTGCAAAATATATACATGTACATGTAGCAACAGAGGTACCGTACATGTGTACACATGACTTACATACTGGTATGTACATGTGTACATGTAGTGTCAAGAGAGATGTTGATACATGTACATGTACAGGTAGTTTTTGCATAGAGGAAGGATACAGGAGTTTGAACTGCCCGGGCTACAACATCTGGCCAATAACATGTACCGGTACTGCTTTCTGGCATGCCCAGTAGTACAGTACACGTACCTGTATGTCCATAGCCAGAGCCCAGCAAGTGCCTGCTACACACCATCTGTTTCACAACCACAAAATCCCTTTGTACCCTATGATCGCCACACCAATTTTCTGCTGGTAAACGGCATCCTTAAAACTTTGTGTACTGGGGTATCTACTCCGAGCAGGACCAAAAGAGGACGGGTTTGAAATGAAATTGACAGTCCTTTGGTACAGGTACCGGTGCACATTCACTGCATAGGCATGCAAGCTTATGTGCATTTTGTTCCTTATGAATTTACACATACATACATGTAGCTTTCCAGTAGTAGTCAACATTTTGTTGGCCAGTCTTTGTCAAATTCATACCAAGTGTTTGAACACTGATGTATCGGATGGAGGAGAATAAAATTTACCACTTTGCATGGCTAATGGAACAGTGTATCAACATTTGGAAAGTTTATTCATCATGGCAAAAGTAGGTCTAATATCAGGATATTTCTCTCGCTATTTCCTGGTCAAAGAAAAAAATTGTATTAAATTGCAAGCAAAACACTGCAAGTATTGCTAGAATATTACTGCTGGGATATTACTGGCCCCACTTGTCCGGCTCAGCATTTTGGGAATATTTCTATTATTCGTCTGTCTCAGCAACAATGATCATTGAACAGAGCTGCAACTCCTTCTGTGTCCTTCCTCTATGGTTTTTGGTGGGCTGGTAGAAACACTTATAAAATGCAAACATGTTCAATGTATGTACTGTACATGTACATGAACAGTATGTGTACATGTTTGTATACTGTACATGTTCATGTACATGTATAACCAAACAGTGTACGTGTACATGTACATGTAGGTACATGTACATGTCCGTACATGCATCTCAGTTTTCATGAAATGTGAAAATTACAATAGATGTACATGTATGCAATTTCACATTATGGATATGGCCATACATGTACATGTACATGTATACACGTACATGTATGTACACATACATGTACTAGCATGTACATGTACAATGTAGATGAAAAATCTTGACTAAATTTTCCTTTTACATGTATGCAAGGATACATGTATGTACATGTATAGTACATGAATGAACATTGTGTTGTATGCACCTGAGTGTACCGGTAGGTATACACGTACAATACATGTGTGCGTGTAATGTACGTATATGTACTGTAGATAAACACCTTGACATGTATGCAACGCAGTGCACAATACTTCAATACATGTACATGTACGTGGGAGTAAAACCTCGTTAGTGTTTGCACACACGCCGGTACTGCATGGCCGTGACATTTTCATAATTCTCTCTATTGCTCCACTTGCCCCAATTTGTTGTTTTCATTCAAAATTGCATCACATGGAATGGCCAGGCCTTGCCACTGCGCACAGTTATCTGACCAGTACATGTTTTTGGTATAATAATCTTACATGTACAGGTTCGGTAGACCTGGTCCCATAATGGTACCTACTGAGAGCAGCTTTGACATTGACAATAAATTGTCCACAACGTACTGGTACCAGAACGTGCTCATCTCTTCAATGCAACAGCAATGGTCAGTAGTGTTTTTCCCCTTTTAACAACTACGCAGATGTACCTGGAACCGACTGCTTCAACATACCCGGGAACTCAACACCATCCAGCTGACAGTGTATTCTAAACAGCCACACCCAATTTAAGCCACTTGGCTCTCTTCTTCCAACAAATCCCATCAGGAGGATTATGCAAGGAAGGAAAAACCACAGCCGCCAATATTAAATACCGGTAGGGCTTGATAATGGCCATTGAAAGTGCACGTCCAGAGAGTGTACGTGTATGAAGATGTAATGTATTTGGCTTAGGAAGTGGCTTCTCTACAAGTACATCTACGAATCTTGAGGTCTGGCAAAGGCTTCTGGTGAAAAACAATGCCACTGGAGAGCTGGGATTAACTAATCCTTGCCTAACAAGGCCATGTTGCATTAATCAGCTAAGACTTTTGTCCAAACTTCACTGTTGGCTTCACTTTTCTGAATTTACCAGTAGGCCATCCTGGCCCTAGTTTTTCAACTCAAAGAGCTGTATTTCCTCACCCTGCAATGTCAAAGTTTGGGGACCTTCTGCTTGGTTCCCATAGTAAGCATGTCAAAATACTTGGGACCAAGATGCAGCCCGAAGTGCACAGCCTAATTTCAAGGAGGTGCATAAGAGATAGCAGAAAAGTGAGGCTACCTTTAGCAGAAAAATTTGCTAACCTTAAGCACTGTTTCATGGCAATGATTAGCATGGTCATGCTAATGGTTGCACACATTGATATTTCTGTTAGTCACTATGTTTAAGCAAATCTTTCCTCCAACATTGTCCAAGGATACCGGTAGCATGCCTTTAGCTGTGCTTACTGCTTGTAGTCTCTGTGAAATACACGGAGCATCTGTAATCTGTGAAATACTTTGCTAAGTAGCACCATGAAATTGGACCCAGGAGGTGAAGCCAGATTTAATTAGTAGCATCCATGAACAGAGGAAGAACCATGGTCAGCATTTTACCTCGTCACTTTCGGAGAGGTCAACATTGCCGTTGTGGTCATCGTCTATCTGTCTGTGAATGGACTTGATGGCTTCCAATCCTTGCATGTCCTTTTCAACATCTCGTTGACACACAATATCCCCTTCTGCACATTCTGCAAGATAACATGGTAAATACATGTACTTGTGTTAAATAACAATACAATTTGCCAAACAACCATCAATACTGTTTTGTTCCTTGAAATTCCTAATTTTGGCAAACATATGTTTCCCAGCCATTTCACTGCACATGTACATGTGATCAGACCCAAGATAATTTTAACACATTTAATAAATCTGCGTAGAAACCTCCTTTGGTTTTGGGTTTTGGACCTTAGGTCTTGGGTTTTTAGTTTTTGGGTATTTTTTCCCCGTTTTTACTTGTGTTTTTTGGAGAATGTTACAGTTGCACGTATACACACAATTAAGAGAAAGTGACAAAGGGCACAGATTCCACGATAGGTGTACATACTGTACTTGTTTATGTACTGGTACATTGTGTCAAGAATTATCTATTAGATACACTGTACGTACATAAGCATGCCACTTCTTAGTGTACATGTGAATATAGTATTCAAAGAAAACTGGATCGACAATGTTTGACTTTTACCTATGTGCTTGACATGTATGTATATGAATGTACATACATGTACATGTAAATAAAGAATGATCATAGTTCAACATGATTGCAATGGTGCCAGGAACCACTGCAGACAGAAATCTGACTGGGGGATGTCAGCAAATGTACTGGTACCATCATGTGACAGTGTAGCATGATACATACCGGTACCAACACTGGTCCTGCCAGTAGGTACTGTACGTGTACATGTACCACAATCTGGAAAAAGTTAGCGTAATAATACCAAGATACATGTACATGCAATGTCTTCAGCCCGACTAGGGGTATCAAAAGACATGTTCCCTTAACTTTAATGCACGTGATGTTCGACGTGTATGTGTGACTAATTTCAATACATCATGTATAGTATGTTCAGGAAAGTTACATGTAGATGAGCAGAAACTAGATAGGGTACATGTCCATACACGTACAATAGGAAGCCTTGAGCTTGTACAGTGAACTCGGTACAGTAGATTCAGGTATTGTAGCGGTACTGAGCACACTGTAACTCATACCAACACAGCAAAATATTACAAGTATACATGTACATGTATACATGTACTGATGCATGCATGCAGTGTAGATGTATAACACCACACAAGTGCCTTATTACTTTCATACATACATGTATGCATGTACATGTACAGTGTACATGTACCGGTACATGTCAGTACATGTACATGTACTGCTCACAATCCTTTAGCCTTAACCCATCACCTACATGTACCCACTTGAAAAATTGGACAGTTAATTAATTAGAAAGTTAATTAATTAGAACTACACATACATGTATACGACTTCCTCAAATCTTTTTTTTTTTTCTAGAGGATGAACCCCTATTAACTTGCAGATGCACAGATCTGCAACTCAGGTGTAAATCCTGCTTGGCTCAGTATGTACATGTACCGGTACAGTGTACATGTAGTGCATGATTATGTGGGTTCCCTCAGAGCATGGAGCAACCCTTTAGCTTTAGCTTCATGCTCAGAGCATAGAAAAAGGACACAGAATCCTTGGTTACATTTCCAGTTTTAAATGTCCCCCTCCTCAATCCACCACTACATGTATACAGTGGAACGCCGCTATAACAAACAAGACAGGGTCCACGCTAAATGATCGGTACAGCGGTCGTTCGGTATAGCGAATTTAGCTGCCGAACGTTTCGTTGCCATGTTGAATGGCACCCTCTCTTGTCTAACCGAGATGCACCCTCTTGTGATACCCTGGTTTGCTGTTTTCGTGATGTTTTGCCGTTGCATTCAAGTTTAAGGTTTCTAGAAATGTATCTGTTTATTATTTTTGTTTTTTATTTAAACTCAAGTCAAAAATCAAGTTTATCCCAAAAGTCATGAAACTACCACTTAGGATCAATCAGCGGCGCCCTCTTTAGACTTTTGTTAGTGCTATGCCACCGTGTGCGTACATGCGGTTTGCTTCTGCACCCAATCATGTGGAGTTGCAAAACCAGTGTCTATTTATTACCGTTGACAACTACTGGCTTTCTCTTCTAATCCTTTGGGAAATAATGGTCACTTGTCATTTTCCAACATAAAAAAACACTGACTGTTTTATCATGTTGACGTTCGGGAATAACAAACGGCAACTGAATAGTGTTCTGTAGGTTCTGTGCACAAATTATTGGGAGCCAAGGACAATGTCCCGTACAGCCGAATGTTCAGTATAGCGGTGTTTGGTATAGCAGCGTTCCACTGTACATGTACATAAACATGTATATATGTACCTGTATTTACTGCTCTGGCATCCAGGAATGTCATTATTTGCCATAGGGACTGCATCCTGTCCAAATTTTCATCTGCACCTACATGTACATGTACCCAGGTAATAGCAGCTGCTCTTCAACTTACCAGAAATATACATGTACATGTTCCTGTACATGGAACTACTGACTTAGTGCCCTTGAAAACACAAGTACATGTACATGTAAATACTGTATACATGTATGTATGGTTGAATAGGTACAAATGGGCCATCTGTTTCCTCCAACTTCAAATGCACTCTACTATAATATTCAACTATTACACAAGGGGAATAAAATCGAAGTCAGTGATTGGGTAATGCTCGCTTACATAACTTGTGATGTCATCGTTTTAAGAACATTCTAGTTTTGTACGGATTTACGTATACGTCCATACATGTAAAGTACATACATGTACATGTACATACATGTAGTGTTCTCAGGCCCACCACCTATTTGTACCATGCACGCGATATAAGAAGCGCACTCAGAACCTGGGTTAACATGAGCACCGACACCTGGCAAACAGGAAGTGACTGTGGCGAAGCGGCACAGCGGTGGTGAAGCGGCGCAACGGTGGCGAAGCGGCACAGCGGTGGCTGTGCACTCTTAACTGCCTTTAGTCCTCATGAAATGAAGGACCCAATGTCGTGTAGTGTTTGAAAACCAGGTAGGTTACAAGTACAAAGCAATTTACATTAATACATACATGTACGTGTACATTAACATCTGAGAGAACCTGCAAAGATGAAATCCACTTTCACTACCTTGTAAAATTTAACATGCAATGTTCCACATAACATTCACGCCCTTCTTTAAATACCTTTTATAGCCATAAATTTATTCATATTACAACAAACAAGTACCGACAGTTTTTACATTAGGCTTTGAGTGATCAACCGTAGACTGAGTTGCTGAATATCAAGACGTGCAGAGGTTCAAATCCCTACCAGGAATAGGGTTTATACAGTATTCTGTCAAGACCCCCAAAATTCAAAAACTTTTCATGACTTTAATGGTCCATTTTCAAAGACTTTTTAATGACTTCCATGGTTTACAGATCGGTGCGCTTACCGCATAATATTGAAACGTGTCTTGAAAAATGTGAAACAATTTTAAAATACAAGATGTAAAAGATGAAAATTTAATGTCTTTTAATGACTTTGATTTGACATAATGCAATTGTTGTTAGCAGAGGTTAAATAAAATATTAGATTCTTTTGTTAATGTTGATTATTGCTTTGTTTATTAGCTTAAATATCAAAACAATTTGTGAAATAATTTGGTCTGTTTTTATTTAGGCTTCCACTGACAGACTACCACAAAATTTCAAACAGTAAATATTCATTTGCGTACAAGACCACCACACTGGACAGTTCATCATGTGTTTTACAAACTTGTACATGTAGATTTTCAGAAGTGATGGGTTAACTTTTGGCAGGATATTTCTCTTTTTTAGGCCTACATGTAGGTCAGGTAATTTTTCAGTTTCTATAAATTGATATACTGCCATACTGGTACAGAACTACAAAGCCCCTTTTCCAAGTTGGATTTTAAAAGTAACTCAACGAAAAAATGTTAATTCTAAAATCTTTGCGCATCATTTTTCTTATCCAAGCCTGGCCTTGCCAAGGGTTCCAAAATTAAAAGCACACCATCAGCAGATCAGGGGTCAACTCTCAGTTTCAGGGCATTCTCTCTAAAGTTCTAAGGACTGATTTTGTCCTTGAATAAAGGGACCTTTCCAAATACAAGGACAGTCCCTCAGTTAAGCTGTGATGTGCACCTCTACTGCCGGGCCTCCATGGATGGCATAGGCATGATAGGCCTGTTCATATTTTGATTCTTTAGGCCTACAACTTAAGTTGGTGCAGACAGTCAGAAAAACGCCAAAATTGGCAAAAGACTTGTAATGTTAAGGAAAATTTTCCCTTTTTGTTTTTCAGACTATAACAGGGTTATGCTCACGATATCAAGAAACGCCCGTAAACAGAACTCGTTCATTCAGGCAAGTTATTATTTATTATCAGAGCGAGCACCAATCCCATTTTTCACAAAACTGATGCAACAAGCATCACCTACCTGAAAACTTCAAGCGAGAACGTGTAACACCACCATTGCTGCTGGATTCGGACGAAGTTGACATTTGGTCACTTGCAACCACGCTCAGGCACAGAAGCAAGGAGAACAACAAGCGGCATGTAATTACACCTATTTCCATCATGTCTCAGATGTCTGAGTGAAATATAACGAATGGTAAAGGAAGTCTGCAAACATTTCCCGAATTTACACGTTCTCTCACTTGTCAGTTGTTGATGATGCACGATGTCCACGCAGCGCCCTCCGTGCCAGATGTGCGAGACCTGTTTGTTTTGACTAGTTTTTGCTACGTGTACTAAACAGGTAGCGCCCAAACGCGCCCAAAAGAACGCAGGGGGAGTTCGCAGTGCTTGTGTTCTTATTAGCCTCCTCTTCGAGCGCGCGAAATAGCCGCCCTCTAGGATTTAATCGGCCTTTCGACTTTTTAATCCACCTACATCTGTTGGTCTGCAAGTTACAGTTTGCCCCGTTTTCCAAAATTTTCGATCACATAATATTGTGGCATAAAGTTCTTGTATAAAGAGATAAATATTTCTGTTTTCTTGTCTTGAAAAACCAAAGCGCTTATTCACAGGTTTTAACAGCGCGGGTAAAGAAAAAACAATTTGGCAAAAGTGTTGCAAGTAGACCTAGTACTGTTTTCGCAATTTCAGTAAAAGTTTTTGACTTTTATTCCACGGACTCATTCTTGCATGAATCAATGGTGTGACAATTGAAAGAGCTTGACACTTTCAAAGATGGCAGCTAGGCTTACCAGGCCAGGTAAGTTTTCCTGACATTTAGGCTTTTTCATTTTTATTTCATTCATGTAATTGTCAATCATGAACGGGATGATAATTCATGGTCGTGGGGGTGAAATTTTATCGTTAATTTTAACAAATGCAGAAGATCTTGCACTGATTTGCAGTCGGAAACAAAGTTTAGCCTAGAGACAAAATCAATGTACATGTAGCCTACATGTACATGTAGGCCTAGGCCTAACTGTAGTTTTTTGTAGGCCACTTCCTACTTGGCCCATAAAAGTGACATGGTTAATCATCTAACCATGACCACGATTTTACCACATACATGTACCAGTTGATGTGGTGGTCAGCATGTCATGGTTATGCATGGTCAGATGTGGTCTGGAAAGACACAAATGATCAATGACATGATTGACCAGCTGACCCTGGCAGGTATGTTTAGGGCAAATTTGACACCTTGCATAAGTTTAAACTTGCACAACAATTGGACATATTGGAAAGAGTTCTGTTACGCCCCAACTATAGCACAAGTCCCAACTATAGTTGGGACAGTCCCAACTGTGGTACTGCAGTTGGGCTGACCCAACTATTGTTGACCAATATCTGTCATGTCTGTGGGAAATGTCTCAACATTAGCCTAGTCAATGTGTCTCACACCTGACACAATTCATCTAAAATGTGGCACTTTACCTGTTCATCTAGCCCTATGACCAATGACATGACATTTGTAAATGATATGACTTTTGCACATGCTGGACACATCATGCACACAGGACCTCTCTGCTGTAGTTGGGCCAGCCCAACTGTAGCACTCTAGTTGGGACAGGCCCAACTATAGTTGGGACGGGCCCAGCTATAGTTGGGACAGGCCCAACTATAGTTGGGACTGATGCTATAGTTGGGGCGTAACAGTTCTTTACACCCATGTCACTTCACCATAAGCCATATTGCAAATACTGCACGGGCATTGTGGGAAGGAAAAATATTTGCTCCTTTTTCCTTCTCACAATGCCTTTCTACCATTGTGCAAAATCACCCATGCTGTATTTGCGATAATGCTTACGTAGACATGTATGTTGGCACCATGTGCACTTGTACCGGTATTGTAAGCAAACCATGCTACAAATGTAGGAGCACGGCAGATGACGAGCCCCACAGCTCTTGGCGTTGGACACAAGCGGTCAATACACTGTATGCATGATCACTCATCAATTTTTGCATGATTGCTTGATCTTACTGCATAATTTGTTGATAATTCTACCATCAACCAATCTCCTTTTCTTTCTAATTCACGATTGGGAAATATTGTTTCAAACAAGGGAATTAAAGTTAGAGATTTCATGCAGAATCAACCAATCATGCAGAGCACTCAGACAATTCGGGGGATCCCTTCTAAGAACACCAATTTTTGTTTTGGACGGTAGTCATGAATATTAATGAGCTAGTACTTGCCAATTAGAATTACAACTCTTTGCTCATTCATCCCCTTGACCAATCACATTCATTTTCACCCTGAAGTGATTGGTGTCCTTCAAACAAAGACAGTAAGGGTGTTTTTTTCCTCTTAGAAACTTTTGAAAAGTTTTTCATTATTTGGAAAATGTTCTCTGGTATACTATGCATGCACTTGGGAAACTGATTTCATTTCTCTTTAAGCAACTGGTTTGAATGAAGTTTGTTGACATGATATTTATCTTGGTATTGCCAGGATGATTGAAGGTTCATCATCCAATGGCATCATGTGATCATCACTTTCATAAACACATGGATTCATTTTTATCGACAATTGTCACTGCTGGCCTACATGTACTTTTACCTGTGTCTTTTATACTGCATCGTCTTAACAGGTAACCCCGAACGTGGATGGAATGATCCACCAATGTTTATGTATAACAAAGATGGCCAAAAGGTGCAGTCATCACCCAGGAAGAATCCACTTACTCAGAGGGTTGGAATGTCTCAGAGCTACACTAGTTCTATCCAATCAACAGGTACTCATGCTTGTTTTCCAATGCTAGCTTAAACCCAACTTCCAATGGGCCTTTTCCAGAGGTTGTGGATTCTGTGGAACAAAACGGAAGCAGTTTCCGAGAGTAAAAGTTCGTCCAATTTCTCCTCCTTTGTTCTCTCCAAGGACACAACAAACCTGGCCCCCCTCCTGCAGTTTTACCAGGAGCACCACCCGTTGCCTCCGTTCCTCCTCTTCAGCTATTCAGCAGTCCACCGACTGAAGAAAATAAGATGTCACCTGCAAGGTCAAGTGAGGTCAAAGGTGAAGAGGAGGAGCAGTCGGAGTTGCCAGGGGACATCTGCATCACCACCATGGCCAAGCTGAGGAATGTTCTTCAACTTTGCCAGGAGAAGTTAAAGGTGCACAAATGTTTCACTGATGCCATGGTGTCTCTCCAAGGAATACATGTGGACCAGGCCATTCAACCGTGGCCCACTGGGGGTGTGGACAGGTAGAGAATGGCTGAGTGCAACAGATGCAACAGAATGAAGAATTACAAGCAAAATGGGAAGCAAATTCAAGACGGCAATTGTAAACTTGGAATGTTGAAAATGGGTCATAGAGGCAAAATCTTGATATGTGAAATATATGATAAAACTTCAATATTGTTCGACAAAAATATTCCCAAACTCTATCTTACAAGTACACAATTTAATTCGGAAAAATATGGAAGGCTGCGTAGCACCGTGATCAAAATATCAACGAGAATATAATATCAAATTAGTGCTCTGAAATATGTGATCGCCGAGCTTTCGGTAATTGAGTACCTACTTCAGGGCAAGCAGATTCAGAATCTGCTTGCCCTGAAAAAGGTACTGACTCGGCAATCACATATTCTCGTCGACACAATTTAATTTGTTCTTTTTGCATTGGGAGATGTTAATTTTTGTATTGGGTGTTTTGCCTGTCCCTCACTTATAATAGATACTGTGAAAGTCTGTGTATAAATAAGACCAGTGCTTATTGGTGGAAGCTGGGGCTCTCAAATTAGGCTTTTGATGGCGTAGGTCAACACCAACACACTATTCTTATTTGCACCTTGGGCACCAGACTATATTGGGCACTAAATCCAAGGCCCGGCCTCAATTTGTGTTGAAAAACCTTCACTACTCGGAAGTACTTTTTGAGAAATCCTGCTCTCATTTTTTTAATTCTAAATAAATAATTGCAGAGCCTATTGTTACAAATCCTGTCTTCTCCCCCAGTGAGATATTTTTCAATAATTTCTTGATTTAATGCCTTTATGTACATTGCTTATTTTGGGATACATGTATGTTGAGAAAGATCTGATTCCTGACAAAGTTAGCTAAATTTACAGTGTGCATAGACTTTTTCTTGATTTTTGACCACCTACAAAGAAAAGATCCATATCTGATATATCTGAAAGAGCGTTCCTAAACCTGGCCTTAACTTGACCCTTAACCTGTCTCTTTTCAGGTTCGTGTTGCAGAAGACATCAAGAAGAGAATGGATGCACTGAACACTGCCTGGACTGGGGGTAAACTCTCTGTAGTGGTGCAACAGCGAATGGATAAATTATCAACAGGTTAGGTGGTAAAAACCAAAAGTTATAACCAGGTAGATATACATGTACCATATTGGAAATGAAAAGTTGGGACGTCATAGCTTCAAAGATTTCTTTCATATCCGTATTAGAGACAAGGACCAAAATGGGCAATTTGTTTTTATAAGTAGGTGTAAACTGGGCAATCCTACCCAACAGATTAAAGTTAGGGTAAAGATTTTGATTTACCTTTCGGATTCAAGTACTAACCTGTCGATTCTTGGCTAGTATGTGTGTTAAGGAAGTCCACAGAATTGGACCTGGTCAAAGCATTTAAATTTTGTCAGCAAAGGTTTTTGAAAAGCACTGAGCATAGGATTCTCATACTAGTCCTTTGCATAAGACGGGAAAGCATGTAAGGAATGCAAAGACCAGACCACTTTATTTTCATAGGCAAAAGTGCATATGCACCAGGATAAGTTCTGAAGTTATCGGGATTTGGAGGCACATTACACTAGGTGTTTTTATTCTAGCTGCATTTTATATTTTGTCACAGCTCTTGCAGACAGGGATTACAATCGAGCTCATGATGTACACCTGTCCCTGATGGTGGACTATGTCGCAGAGGTCAGATATATTTTGACTTCCTTCCTGCATTTGTTGCATTTGAAGTTGTGAACAGTTTACCATGAAATTGGTATTATTCTTTGACAAATATATATCACATCTGATACTGGTTCATGTGAACACCAACAACTGAACTACCTCAGTTCGTTGATTTGATGCCCCCTCCCTAAAAAGGTCAAATGAATTATTGTTTCATTCATTTATTAAGTCATTCCAATATTTGACTGCAATATTTATGTCACTTTCAGAGGATCAACTTCACATTTACAAATAATTCCAAGCATCTGTCTTTAGCTTTTTTGTGCTTCGCTCTTTACTTACAATGAGCTGATCTGTTTTGGCTGGAAATGACACTACCCTAGAGTTCGACATCAGACATAAAGGCTTTGTTTGATTTGTAAGCTTGTTGCGATGTAGTCCCTCAAAGACTACTATTGAAGTATCCAAACAGTTGACAAATGATTGTGAGAACAAGGCAGATCTCTTCTTCCCCACCAATGAAAATTTCCTTATTCTTAAAAGGATCATTAACCCCCATCTCTCACCAGGTGAGTCAGTGGATGGTTGGCATCAAACGCCTCATTATGGAGGCACGGACAATACTCCCTCCTCCTCTACCCTCTTCAGAAACAGGAGGTGGGCACATTCTCGACCAGCCAACTGACAACAGAACAGAGACTGACAAAGACAATACCGATCAGGTGGAAGAGGCTGTGAATGGCTCCCCTCCCATTGTATCTGCAGCTGCAAGTGGCGAGGACAATCAACAGACCCCTCGCGATGGAGAAGGTTCCCAGGATGAAACAGGTCAATCCACAAAGGAGCAAGAACTCAAGGAGACGACAGCCGTCCAAGATGAAATCCCTCCAGCCGGTGATTCCGAGAGCCAGCTGGCTGGATCAGAATCATCACCAAGGCTTAACAGGAATGAAGAGGGTGAAGCCAGTGACTTCATCAGACAGTCGTCCTCAGATGAAACAAAGGAATTGCTGGACAGACTACCCTCAGAAAAGACAGCCGAGTCAAGAGGAAAGGAGGCTGTCATCTCTGACTCACACTAGTGGATCAAGACTAACTTGGTCTTAATACTGTAGACACTTAAAGCTGCAAAATTATGCGGTTGAACATTTTCACAGAGTACCTAGACATGAGTGCACAGCTAGAAATCATCATGTCTGTCATGAGCTACTCAAATGAACATTGGCAAAAGCCGTTTGCCACTGTTTGCCCTGTTATTTGTGACTGGCCTTATGAAAGGACTTGTGGGTTAACTCATCAACTACAACACTGATTGAATTTGCAAGAATTTGTAGTGTAGGATCCATCAGTTACATCATACATCTCATTTTTAACACGACGGCAGAAGGTTATACATGTATATGGCATCGCACATTTTGGTAAAGCATGGGCATTGTGATAACCATATGTTCCCTGCATGCATGGGATTTGACTTCTGGATTTGAGAATCTGCAGCATGCCATGTTAGAGCTGAACTTTTTTTTTAAGTCCCCACAGTGAATGGCTTCATGGCGGATGATGTAGGGATTTTCTATACCAGTTACCAGGGAGGACATTTAAACATGTCATGTCATTTCTGTATACAGTGGTGGATGGTGTCCGTAATCATCCCAATGCTTGAGTAATCCCCATTCCTCTCACTAATACATTTCTAGCATTCCTGTTTCTCCATTGAATTATATTCAGCTTCTAACCGATGCAGGCTTTGCAGTTCAAAGAGCCATGCTCTTTACATATATCAGCAGCTGCTAGATTGAATTGTTAGGATGAGAGATTTTAAGTTCTGATAAAACCAGGAATGTGCTTTGTTTATTTTTTATGGGCTGTATTTCTTTAAAGTGAAATCATGCTTTCGTATTATAAGCAGGGTTAAGAGTGTTCTGTCCTAAAGGCTTAAAAGAGATTTTATTTTTGAATAAGCTTAGAGAGTATGGGCATTATATCACAAAGGTGAAGTTTGAATAGCCACAATTTAGGCCTTAATATATAGCTCTGAATGTAAGTAAAATCATTAGACATTTTTGGTGAAGAATTAATCCATGGTTGAGATAAGCGCTGGTCATTGTAGTCATTTCACCGAGTTACCATAACATTGTTCTTGAATGACTGCATACAAATTATTTTCAATGACCATGGTGAATAAACTTCATTTAATGGTGCTCTGTGATGTATTTGGTGTGTCTGTGCTTATGGTCAGGAGTGTAACCAATAACTTCTCCCACTGGATATTTCTCCACTTGCAAAAGATAAGCACATGTGAATATGCAGACCAGTCTTTGCACTGTCAACTTTTGTCATAAATAGCACTGTCGTGACAAAATGCTGTTGTAAAGAACGGATTTCAAGAATCCCAATTTCTTGAATTCTTCTGTTTTTTTCCTCACTCGTTATATAACATAGCCATCGTTATAACAGTAATTTGTCTGGTTAGTGATACTTCGTTAAAATGACAGTGACTTTTATGTATTCACTCCATGTCTGTAGTCAGAGGAATGCAAGCTGCTCTTTTGTGCTGTGATGAAAAACATCCAAATTGGAGCTAGAAAAATACAGTGTACCACGTTCGGCCATTCCTACCTCCATGGTTCGACGCTGTTCACATCCCCAAGGTTAAAAGTAAATTAAAAACTGACTGGGAATTATGTAAATGAACTTCAATCTAATTACCAACGCCATGATATGTCGCTCTCATGTCGGCCAGCCACAACCAGGAGGAAGCAACACAGTTTATTTTGTTAACAAAAAAGGCCCTGGTACGCTGACAAGAAAAAGGATACGGAGAAGGGGGTGGGATAGTTGCCCGATCATGTCCAAATGTTTTGAAAAGGCGATTTGCGGTCCAAGTTACTTTATAGCTCCATGTTTGGAGTAAGGTATATGGTTTGTTTTTAGGGTTCAAGGTCGGGATTTTGGTTCTTATTTTATTTCAGAGAATATGGAGGTAAAGCAAACGCGGCAGAGTAAAGATCAAGGGGTGGGCAGGGTTCGAAAATTGCTCGTTTCCCAAAAACGAGGTGCTACATCACGCCTGCATGCCGTGATATCGCTTGCCCCATTGTGTGCTCCAGCTATGGAGGTAGAAATCTATGTCTACCTGATTTTTCTTTTATTTTTGGAAGCTATAGGTGGCGCTCTTCAAATTGAACAGAGCAGCGGTTTTGATGATCGATAGCTCACGGCGGATGTATGTTGTATACATAGAGTTGGATATAATACCATCACATCAAACACACCGCGCCCGACGAGTGAGTCACGCGCACGGTACGACATCAAGTGGGCCGAGGGCCAGCGTTAGTTCAAGGAGTCAAAAGGTGACAATTTTGGCGTTTCACAATCTTGACATTGGTACTGTTCTGCAGTTGGTTTGAATATTGTGGACGTTGCTCCATAAGGAGATTGCTGATCTCGTTGATGGTCGACAAAAGTGAAGAGTAAGTAGATTTACGGCCCTTCCGAAGGAGTTGGGGTTTACAGTGTATCCCCGCATAACCGGTTTTCGACGATGTAAGGCCTTTTCTTCAAACCATGGACAAACTGACCAACATGAACGAAAGTATCACACCAAAAGAGGTCTCAGTCACTTCTTTTACATCACAGACTTGTAAAATAAACTTGGAGGACGTCGATCACACCTATCACTTTTGCGAAATTACCTGGTTTAGCTTTTAGTTGCCGTCCGTGGAGCGCCGCACAGCAAACACCGTGACCTAAATATCGACGAGAATACAATATCAAATCAGTGCTCTGGCTATCACATATTTCAGAGCTCTAATTTGATATTATATTCTCGTCGATATTCTGATCACAGTGCTACACAGCCGTTCCATATTTCTCTAAACACCGTCACCCATTTTCGACGGTCGCGTTGAGTAAGGTGTCCCAGTGACGCCATACACAAACTAAATGTCTGAAATTACTGGAATGCTGTGTGGTAAAATTCTTCCGTCTTTTTATTGGTTTTCATCTTTCGTTTTTCCCGACCCTGCCTCTCACTCTTTCCTCAAAAGGCTCATATGCATTTTTAGCAATGTTATTATGATCCAACAATACATGAACCCCTTGGCCTAGGCCCACCTGCTCCACTTTTGGGATGGGGAAGCTGGAGTTCCTTTTTATCACCTCCTTCCTGTTGGGTCTTCATGGTTCCTGCTACCCTCTCCTCCCCTCCTTTTCTAAATCATCAAAACCATCCTCTTAATAAACAAGGAATTAGTTTTATCATTGTAATGATTAATTCAGTTTTGGCAAAATGGAAACAATCCTCTTGAACGTGAAAAGAAGTTCGTTAACTGAAAGAAATGTTTCAATTCTACAACTTTGCCACTTTTAAGACTTTTCTGAATTTTGGACCTTCAAGTAAACAAAGCACATACATGTACTGGGAAAGAACTTAAAACTACTCTTCTGTTGGGGACTGAAAGCATGGCAAACCATGTCATGGGCAAAAAATGTGTCTTTCACTCGTAGCCGTGTGACATATTACAACGCTACTTGAGGTGAACCCAATGTGAACAGCTTTCGAACATGCACTGAGCCCATGAAGTGAAGTAGAGTTAATCCTTAAGTTCAATAGGGCAGTACCGGTGACACACACAGCATTTCTCGTCCTCGTTAATTTCCTCATCAGAAGATACATCATGAATGGATGTGATTGTTTGGCTTGGTCCAGGCTCACAGTGTTGTGATGCAACCATGGCAGCAGATTCTGTTTTCTTTGCCCGTTTGGTCGGGTTATATTTCTTCTTTCTGGTTGATGTTGTCTTCTGTGACGTTTCAACAAACTGCACAATCTTCTTCCTTACTGCTTCTTCAGTAATAACCTTTCCTGATGTCACTGAAGAGACACATCTCCTCTTTCTTAGTACTTTCTCTCGCTGGCCTATGATCTGTTCTCTTTTTTTTGAAGAGATCACAGGAGTCTGAGTGAGGGAGGCTGCCACTGCCGTCACCGTGTGGACCAACTGGTTGAGGTTCAGATAAATCTGTCGACTCACTTGCTGTCTTATTTAGTGCCTTAGCTGGTTCATAGTTTTTGACATCGATTATGTCATAGTTGCAAGGATAGATGCCAGTTTTCTTGAACGAGCTTCGTACGTTGTCAGGGGATAGGGCCTTGGAGTATGCTCTGCAAGCAAGTTCACAGATGGAGTATCTGTCAGTGCCTGTCGTAGAGTGGGCACACTTGTGTTGGTTGCAAATTGAATTGTAGATTTTCTCAAATGGCCCAAAGCATCCAACATCCATTGGCTGCAGGACGTGGCTCGTATGTGCTGATAAGATAAACAACAAGATATTGTGTTCTCTTGCCCAGTCAATCAATGGCAGGGAGATGTGGGAAGAATGTCCATCATAAAGGACAAAGATGGGCTCATCCTCGCTGCCGTCTGTGACATACTTTTAAAAATGTGATGAGAGGTAGTCCGTGAAAATTTCAGAGTTGGACCAGCCACTGTCACTTACAGTTCCACTGGCACCCGGAGTGCAGCCTTGAAGAAGCTCTTGTCTCATCCTCTGTCCTGGAAATACAAAATATGGTGGAAGTTGCTGTCCAATGGCATTCCCTTAACTAATGATTGTCACAGTAGAGCCCTTGCCTGCAGTGACAGCAACTGTGGACTCTTGGACGCACTGACGATATGAGATGGAGAATGATTTTGCCTCAGTCCCTTTTCATCAATATTGTAGATTATCTCAGGGGCATCTTTTAGCTTGTACATGGTCATTATTCTATCAAGCTCAGTGAAATACATGTATGCCTTGACAACTTCCTCAGATGTAGCTTTTGCCCTATATGTATACATGTATGTCCAAGCTTCGTGGTTTTTTTACATGAAGCTCCGGCCATCTTCCCATAAAATTTCTGAACCATCTAATGGATGTCCTGCTTGCCGTTTGTGGAGACTGACTGCATACAAAGTAGCTATGTCGACAATGCCAGCCCTCCTGTACCCATAACCCATTACGGCCATCTTCTTGACATGTTCCACAAATTTTGCCTCTTCCTCAAGGGTAAACAAGGGAGCTGGTCCTGACTTAGTAGTTTCTGGGTCAACTCGGCCTTTGACTCGATCCTTCAATGTTGTCAGAGGAAGAAGAAGGCAGGAGGCAACACTCCTTCCGTTGTTTGTTTTGCCATACATAATGTGGACGATGGATCAATGAGATGTATTTATGTACATGTAGGGTGCAATTGATCAATCTGCACTATTGCTCAATTTGTGCATGATTGGTCATCACTATTGAATTTGATGATTCATTAGTACATAAATCTACCATCAAGCAGTCACATGTACTTTCTAACTTGCTGTTATGGATAATTGTTTCAAAAGAGGGAAGTAGACGTAAAGTGGAAGATATCGTACAGGATGGACGGATTATGCAACATTGTAGCGCAATCGTGATTGACCGACTGCCCAACATTTGAATTGTTGAAAAGTAGTTCTGTTGCCATGCTAATGTTCACATTAAAGACACACACTGCATTGGACTTTGCTGGAAAATAATTTCCATGTCCTTAAACAGAAATTCCAAATTAATTTGTTTTTTCTTCAGAAATGGCAGTTACTACCAAGGTTTGCAGTGTGGTGTTGGTCCTGGGTGTCATCGTCGCAATTATCGGTGGTGTAATGTTCCCTGTCTTTCAGAAGATCATACATGATGAAATTGTCAAGGTGAGGTTTGGTTAGAGGCAAATCCTTCTTGTCTTGATGAATGTCTGTATACAGTACATGTACATGTTTTCGCCTTGATTTGGTTTGGAGCAAAGTTTAGTTTCACTTTATTTCACCTTCTGGCATTGCATCCTTGAAGAAAAAAAGAAGAATGATGTAAATCCCACCTGCCAAAAGAAAAAATAACAGTGTTCTCCAAGTTCTGACTTTATTACCGGTACATGGTGTGAAGTAAAAACAAAAATCCGGGTGGGCAGTGGGTGTACAGTAACACAAAGTTTAGGGCCTAAATCAACCCCCATTCATTTGGAGAATGTGTGATGCAATTTTGGGCATTTTTTTACCGCTAAAAAATTGGAAGTAAGTTAGGACATTCATTGGACAACAATTTTCATCAAGATGATGTTGTGTACGATGAAATTTTCCAGGATGTAAATGTTGCACCTGAAATTGAAAACGCAGTTTTTTTTTCTAAGCATAGTGGCTACTGTTTAAACATGGTGCAAAACAAGCCAAACTTGGTTGGCATGTGGGCCATTATTAGGTTACAGGTTGTAAAACATTGAACTACATGGACTGTACGTGTTTGTCTCGTTGTTTGCTTTTATTGTTGTTGTTTTTTTTTTCAGTTTTTTATTCTGGGTTTTCAGCCTTGGGTTTTGCTTGATTTAGATATGGGTTTGCAGTGATTTGAGGTGCGTTTGGTTTGGTTTGGTTTGGTTTGTTTTTGCTTTTGTTTATGTTTTTGTTTGCTATACAAAGTTGCTTTCATGCACATGTTTTGTATATACCATACTCTACATGTAGCTCTTTGGCACTAGACAGCGGTAGACTTGAAATCAAGTCTACTGCTCTATTAGCCAGGTGTAGTCCACCTTCCTTGCGATGTGTACATGGTGCGGTTTGGCTTGCAGTTTAATAACACGCAGGAACGGTCAGTGCAACCTCGTTCCTCATATGCATGTTCGGAGGTGCCCAATTACCGACTTGTACAATCTTTAAGCTCTTGTGTACAACATAGGGGGCTTGATACCAAAATTAGATGCAGCACTCTGATTGGCTAAGAGTCCCGATTATTATAAGGGTCAGTTTGATTAGTCAGTTGAATGTTTATTAGCAACAGCTACCAGTACAGTCTCGTTCATTGAAAAGGGTATTAACATTATTCTGAAAAGATGATTTACCATAAAAGTATTGTTTTATTTTTTTACCAAAAAGATTTAAAGATTTGTTCTTGAATAGCTATGTATACTTAGTCTTTGTATTGTATTAAAAGGGATATTAAAGCAAGATATGAAAGAAACTAGCACTAATCAAATATACATGTAGAAAATGGATGAGTCTGTTATGTAGCATGAGCTACTGTTGACGCTCTCCATGAAAACGCAAGAATATGGTTGATCAAGTCGTTAGGCGGCCACAGTGGGTTGTGGGCCAATGTGTACCAAATCCCGGTACCGAACAGCACAAGACCACGCATTGTGTCGGGCCGAATCAGCACGGCACGCTGGATTGTGGGCAATGGTGAACAGGCTTAGCACTAATTGTAAAACGATGCAGTGTGCTGGTTTGTATCGGTTGTTTTGGACGACAAACATGGCTGACTAGCAACTTGATTTCAAGCCTAGACAGCAGAAGAGATGAACCCTGCTAGACTTGTCATAACAGGACACAGATCTACATCTAACTCTTCCATGTTTAGTAGGCTTCATGCATCGTAGTGCACTACGCTCCTGGGTTATTCTTGCACACAAGGGGATGAACTCTACATAACACATGACTTGTTACCAGTCACCTGACACAGTAGATGGACATGTACTTATTTAAGGCCCTTGAGCTATGTACACAAAGCAAATCAGATGTTGTTACCGTTGTTTGTGATAATTAACTACAAAGTCCATTCACATTGCAAATACAAAAAGTTTGTGGAAAAATTTGGTACCTTCATCAAAAGGACTACATGTACATGTATTCAAATCCCTCTAAATTCCTAGGTGGTTCTAGTTAAATCTTATGTCATTGTTACATGTACTTTACTGGGTTCAGCCTGGGGCTGAGTCAATTCGAATAATTCACTTTTCGAATATTTGACCTTCAATTGATTGAATATTCGGTCATACCGACCGGCAGATTGTTGATGAACAAACCATACAAAATCAGTTGCAAAACATACACAATTGTACATTATGATCAGTATAATACATGTAGCTTCTCACATGTAGGAGTATCTCCAGCCTTGATTTACCTGTAACAAGATTTAAGAGATGAAGAAGACTTTTGCCCTGTTGAAAATTTCTATTCCTTTTAAATTGTTTAATGAACAATTTACTTTTTAAATCATTGTAAGATTTCTGACACGTTTCATTTGAATCTGCTTGAAACAAGCGTCCATAGTGCAATTTTCTCATATAAAACAAAAGAAAATTTCCCCTTCCTTTTCATGAATTTGGCATTCAAATTCAAAATATAATATTGGAGTATTTGACAATCGATCAAATATTCGGTTATTCAGCACAGCCCTAGTTCAGTCGAGTCCGGTTTGACATTATGCCCACATTCAGAGCTGTACTACGCTTACATGTACAAGGCAAGATTACATGTATGCTTATAAAATTCAGAAAACAGGGCGGTTTGTTTTCACTGGTTGTCAATTTTTGGAAGGAAAAAAAAGAAATGAAACAATTCTAAAAGTGAGTTTTGAAATTGGAAGTTGAATGATTACATTGAAATATCCTTTTGGTGTAGTGGCTGACTCTCGGAGACTGTCGTTTGGAAATACTACGGTACAATTCATTTGCATATGTGAAAGACATACCGGTAATGTATTTCAGCCAGATCAGTGTCTGGTTGGAGCCAAAAATACAGTATTTTATGCCTCACCACGAAACGCTTGAATGGAAAAACTGCACATTTTTTATCCTTTTCTTTCCAGCAAACAATGCTGAAAATGGGCACCATGGGTTATGATATCTGGAAGAACCCGACGGCCGATGTCTACATGCAGTTTTGGGTCTGGAACCTGACCAATCCGATAGAGGTGCAGAATGGGAAAGAACCATTCCTAGTGGAGAGGGGACCCTACACATACAGGTAAAGAAAAAAAAGAGAATGATTGAATATTAAAAAGCAAACCTAGGAGACCCGAAAAAGCCATGAGCAGTGCATTATGGGTAACAGTCTGTGCCCAACTGAAGGTGTAACCAAACAGCATTCCTCTACACTAGGTGAAACATGGTGGTAACTTTGCATCTTTTAACTTTCTGTGTGGATGTTTATGATTCAGATTGGAATTTTTTTCAGTTTTAAAAAGACCTAAGGAGGTCAAGGCCGAATTGTCGGGGATTGTGAATTTAGGGACCCTGTTCATATAACATTTTCACTTTTGGATTCCCCTAGGCAGATGACTAGGCCTTTGACATCATGCTCAATAACTGTGGGGTTGATGTTGTGAAAAGAGAGCAAGGTTTTGAATTTTGAGGTAAATTATGAAGGGAAACTGGGGGTGTTTTAACACGACACATGGCGGAGTCAAATTTACACGGCTGGTTTATCAGGAAGAAAGTCACATGTTCTCACAATTTACAATTTGAAATTTCCAAACGACAGGGTCAGGGCCTTTGTTTTTTTGGGGGGGAATGACCAGTTTTGCACATATTAAAATGACAAAAACTTGGGGTCCCCATATTCACAATCACCAAATTGTATTCAGCATGCAATAATTCTGCAAACATACACATGCACTGGTAGAAATGAAAATGATTTAGTTACAATATTTTGTACTGTTGATTTGCATTCTTCTGTTCTTTCCGTTTCCCCCAGAGAGATTATGGTGAAGGAAAATATTTCATCTAACCGCAATGGCACCATTACATACGCTCAAGAGAAATCGTATGTGCTGGATCTTGATATGTCCGTGGGAGATCCACAGAAAGACAAATTCACAACAATCAACATTCCTGTCATGGTATGATAAGTCCAGGTCCCTCACAGGTCTCTGCAAGTCCATCACAAGTCCATCATCCAGTCTTAAGTCATATGACATTCAAATGCATTGTGACAAAAGCGTTCACATGTCATTGTGCACCCTGTTACCTGTGACTGATCTGATGAAGGAACTTGTGATGGGTTCAACTACATGACTGAATAAGTCAGTCAAGTTGTTGAGTTGACCACAGGGAACATTGTTTGATCCAAACCTTCTCAGATCGTACAAACCAATCAGGACTGAGCTTTGAACAATTTTGCAAGATAATCAAGGTGAAAGCTCCCAAGCTTTTACTTTCTCTGGAGAGTGATGACTTAGCAAAGTGTTGACTGAAAGCTGTCAGCAATTTTCCCTGCATTTTACCTCAAGTGTAAGTCTGTTTCAACATTTTGTGACATGTTTCTACAAATTCATTGCAAGTTCTGGCTATGCAGTTTGAAATTCATTTTTTGGTGGCGTTATTTGGCTGTTATTCAGCACTAAAATAATTTAACCCTAACCCTACTCAATCCTTCACCTGTTGGAGGATTGAGGAGTGTTAGGGTTAAGCGATTGTTTTCATTTAGCCCAGAGCTGCACATGTAAACACGTGTAGGGTACCTGCACAACACAAGTTTGTTTTTAAGTTTTACCAATCAGTGTACAGACATTGAAGAAAAAGAGTCCGAGGTTGTACATCTCTTCAAACAGACGGTCTTTGCGAGCCACCAAGTAGAGATGATCTGTTAAGTTTTCTTTATAAAACAAAGCAATGTTCCCTGTTTGGTTATGCTCAGTCAAACAAAGTGAGAAAAAGTCATTAAATGCATTTGATTGCAATCTTTGTCCTAAAGAGTGGCTACATTTCAAGCGGCGAGATTCAAAATGAAATTTTTTTTAATGCCTGCGGTGTTGTATGTAATACAACATACATGTACAATAAGTGATATCGGCTTTATTTTTTTAGTATATTTGTTTTTCAGACTGTTGCTGGAATGCTTCCACATTTGGATCTTGGTCCGTTCGAGAAAGCCGTCCTGGAAGGAATCATAAGAGGGTCCACTACTTTTCCAAGTCACACTGTCTGGGATATGATCTGGGGCTACGACGATGAGTTGATGAAGCTCGCCCATCTAAAGCACCTGGCACCGTATGACAGATTTGGATTTTTCGTCAATGTAAGTAGAACCCACCTGTGATTGCTTGTCAGCATGCAAGCAGACTAGCTTTAAATTGGTTCCCTGCTCTCACGGCCATTCCAGCAAGTACTGTCTTGCTACCAAAGCCCAGTTCCATTGTTTGGCAGAATATTTAGTGGATTCACGCCTGTACAGCCAGTCCTCCTTTGTGTTTACATAACAGTGCTCGGTGTGTAAGTTCTGTTCGGGAGCAAAGAGTTTGATTATGGAGGCTTCGTAAGATTCACTCAATAAAAATATCGGGGGAATTCAAGCTACTTAAGCCTGTGTTTTCAAGGCAAATTCGGCTAGTTGCAGAATTTGTTGCATTATTTTAATGGAGTTTGTCTTGTAATGCATATCACTTTCAGAGCCTTCCAACTCCTCGTCTTTAACTGAAGCTTTTATAGATTAGTAATATACATGAACATGTGCCTTCTGCCACTCCATGTTATACCTCTAAAAAGGACTGATTTTGTAACATTTTTAGTGGTTCACAAGATATTAATAAACATAGCAGAAACAGAGTTTGTTGTTGTTTGTCGCACTTTTCAGCTAACATCTTAGCTCAGTACTAATTTCAAGCCAGTCTCTTGTATTGTTCTTTTCCAACTAGCGGAACAATTCCAATGATGGCTTGTACACTGTCTACTCCGGTGTGGACAAAAGTGACACCAGCAGAATTAACCACATCACCAGGTGGAAGGGCCAATCCGAACTGCCGTTCTGGAGCACTCCGGAGGCCAACACAATCAATGGAACAGGTGTGCTCATTGGATGGATCATTGTTCTTGAAAAGTCAGGGGCAGAAGATTTAAGCAGTGTCAGCTGGCATGGTGCTAGAAGCAGATTTTTGAGTCTGAAAGAATTTGAAATTAATTGGCTTTGATTACCTGATTTTCAGCAAAGTTAAAGTAACAAAACAAGTGAAATTTCTAAGAAAGCAATTTTTGAGGAACATCAAGAAAATAGTGTGACTGTTTTGGACAAACATTTATTCAGAATTCTGTTGTATAAACGTCACGGATTTAAGTGTTTTTAGTTTGGGGGGGGGTGTTCTTGAATGGGAAAGGGGTGGAGCTTGATGAGTGTAGTGGGTGTTGAAACCTCTGCAGCACACAGAACTACACTTGGTTTCATGGAGTAAGAGAAATCAGAACTGTTTCATTATAATGGTCTTAATTTTATTTCTGTGTCTGTACAGCAGGTTATAAAAAGTCGCATTGAACAAATGCCAAGACCAAATAAACCATATTACTTTGTTCAAGGTCTATCTCGATCAAGATGTACTATCAAATTCATGAATTATGCGTGTAGTCAGCTCTCTTGCAAAGGACAGCATTTCAGTTTTATAACTCTCTTTGAAAATCACTGGTATCATTTCTGAGGGCTTTTCTTTGTCTTTGACATTTACAGATGGGTCCTATAATCAACCCTTTTTTGACAAAAGAAAACTGATGTATGTGTTTTCTTCAGATATATGCAGGTGAGGACTTTTGTTTAACCATTAAAGGGCCTAGTTGTGTACCATTTCATAGGTGGGGCTGCTGGCAGGTTCAGACAACAACTCCATCCCCATTCTTGGCTGCCCCCTGACTAATCATCTTGGTACCTGGCATGCATGCAAGTAAAAACATGTTAAGTGCATGTATATCTGCATTATGCTTTCATGCATGTTGGCCAAAACACTGTGCAAAGTCATGAGAAATGTTTTCATTCTTTGGCCTATCTGTCTTGAGAAAGTGGGAATTTTCAAAAGGATATTAAATGTTTGGAGAATTTAGCTCCTGCAGAAGGTGAAAAAGATTTCTCTCTATGATGGCAATCCAAAATGACATTTATTCTCTTTCTAGTTTCTCATTTTTCTCATTTCCAGTGCCCTTTTTTTACTTCTGGGGGATGGGGTAAACTTGCCTGAAATTCAGGTTGTTGACATTTTCCATGTGGTATCAAAAGGAAAGAAGCCCCGCTGATTCACATTGATTGTCTTTGTTGGCAGATCTATCAGTGCTGTCTATGAGAAGGAGACAGAAGTGCGCGACATTTCTACGTGGCGATACGTTGGCCCACCCGAGGCCTTTGCCAACGCCACTGAGAACCCCGACAATGCGGGATTCTGCACCCCCAACACCACCTTCTGCCTGCCCAGTGGCCTGCTGAATGTCAGCAACTGTCAGTTTGGTAAATCTTGAGATGCTCTTTTGAAATAAGTGTGGTAGTGGGATTCAAGTTTGTCTCGGCCCTCGCTTTTCGTTGGAACACGGTTTAATGTCCACCTTCCTTGATGTGAAATGCCTATTATCCAGGGCATTTTTAGCAAGTGAATGCACTGTAGCAGTGTTGTAGTGGAATACACAGCAGACAAAATATGGCCGTGGTCCCAAACGCATCTCAGAAACTTGAGAATGTTCGGTCAACATTGGTTACCATGCATGATAATTGTTACCTGATTGGCTGGATGCAGGTGCACCCATTGTGATGTCACTCCCCCACTTCCTGTATTGTGACCGGGACAAGGTCATTGACCTTGTGCATGGGGTCGAGCCCCAGAAGGAAGTACACCAGACATTCTTTGACATAGAACCGGTGAGTTGAGCTGCAAAGCTATTTCAACTTTAACCTCTCCCCTCCCTGTTTGCCACCCCACTTCACGTCATTATTGACTTGCCCACCTCATCTGTACCCATTCGAAGCTCTATCATGGAAGAAGGAACACGGTTGTATGCACAGTTTCTGAATAAGGAACCATACTGCTCTCCTCTTCTGACCTTACATGTAATTTCTGTCCTCTTCGCTTGCACAGAATAAGGACTAAGTGACCAAGTGTGATTTTCTGCTGTCTTCTTTTTGAGATGTGATTCTCTGAACTATGGACACAACCCTCAGAATTCCTCATTCTCTCACTCTTTTCATAGACCTGACCTAACCTGACATAAAAAAACAGGATAGCAGGAAACAGGATTTCATAAGTTGTCTATGTACATGTACCATGATACTTTTTTGAAAATCGTGTCCTCACTTTCCTTGTATATGATCTATTGAGCTCATACCTCTGAGTTTCCTGTTTATTCTTGGAGGGGATTGAAAGATAGAATGTAATTGTAGTCATTTGACTTCCTGGTTCATTTACTCAGCAGAATATGAGAAACCACAGCTTTGTGTATGCAAATTCTGATTGCAAACAAGCATGAATTGCCAGAAATTGGATTTCCATTCCAAGTGAATGTTTTTCCTTTGTGTTTCAATGAGTGCATAGTTTCCTTTGTCAGTCATTTAGTAGCAGTAAGGGGTATGCTCAAAATCCCCTGATGTTTAACACAGGTTTTGTCATTGTCATTCACTTTTTGTGCATGAATCCAGTCACATTTCACTCGACTTCTGGACGGCCCCCTTCAATGGTGAAAAAGTTGTGTTGAGTTTTGTAGAGTGGCAGTTGCTCTGTACAATAGTCTCACAATGCTTTTTGCCATTGACAGGGGCCACTACATAAAACAGTGATACTGTACATAGCCATGGTCATCGGAGTGCTCTATATTTAAAACAGTGTTAGAAAAATGGGTCTCTTAAAAAAAACAAAGAAAAATGAGGGAAAACCATGACATGCAAAAAGTGATAGAAAGCAAGCTCTGTGCTATGAGAAGTACAGAGTCTTTGTTTCATTTGCCGGCAGCCATGAAATCTGACTAAAAATGCACAAATGCTTCAGCTAAGTTCGTACATGTAGAAATGTTCAAAGAAACCATGGTAATGTTGCACGTCAAGACTGGCTACTCTTTGCCTCTAGGGGCCTTGGTTTGCAAGAAGTTAGCCAGAATTAGCGTATATTCTTTATCTCTTTTTTCAGATGACTGGGGGACCTTTGAATATTGCCAAAAGGCTACAAATTAATGTTTACATGCAGCCATTTGAGAAATTTGAGTAAGTTTTGTATTTTGTTTTTAATTAGAATGGATGGAAGATTAAAGGTCCATTATGAGCCATTGCCTTACATATTCCTGAGACCCTGAAGTGAAAATTGCTGTTTTTCACAAGCACAGGAGAAGTTGCACTCTGCACCATTCTACGTGTATTTGTTTAATGGAAGGGGGGCTTACATTTCAATAGTAACCATTTTGTCCGTCTATTTGAAGTTTACTTTGTGTAACTCTTAACATCATGGTGCTATCTTTTGGATGGTATTTGGAAATTAAAGGAATATTGAGTTTAAAATCTTAAGGTTCAGTCTTAAGCCTGGTTTCCATCTCGACATAAGAAATGCAGAGAGCAATGCAATCAAGATGCAAACTTCAACACAGACATATTGAAACATGCCAGCAGCAGGCCCACATTGAAACTGCAGGTGCATAATGAATAGAATGTATGTGTGGTATGCACTTATCCTCACACAAAGCCACGGCTGTTGACGTCTCCCATTGTGAAGGGTTAAAAGAGGAAAGAAAACTTTCATTTTGCAAGTTGCATATGAATAATAGATCTTATATAAAACCATGGCTACATGCCTGTTCAGTATCTGCATTTTTTATTCTCCTTGCAGTAAACTTAAGAACTTGAGAAAACTCTTTCTACCTGTCGTTTGGCTGAATGAGGTAAGACTAGCTGTTTTAACCCAATTCTGACTTCATAGATCTGCTGTGTGATGTGCTTATTTTCTCTATTAGCCATTAACCAAATCTCAATACATGTAGATGATGTGCAAACATGTAGGGGAACATTTACACACATTCTGGTGAATTCTCTATGTACATATAGCACCAGGGCCCAGTTTCACGGAGCTGCTGAACGGTTAGCAGAAAAGATTGTGCGCATTGAGATTTCTATTATTACGTCAATATTAAGTTTAAGTAAACTTGTCCTCCAAGGTTAGCATGCCATTGACTGTGCTTACTGTTTACAGTCTCTAGGAAATAGGTGGAGTATCTGCTAGCAATAGCATGAAATCTTGTGCTAAGCAGGGCTGTGAAATTGGGCCTAGGTGAAATCTACACTCATCCCCCACTTGAGGAATTCCCATTGAGTTATGTATGCACTCAGAGGTGCAGACAAGTCCTTTTGTTGTAAAAACCTAGTTTTTACTAAGCAGTGCCATAGAATTGGGAAAATTTAATTTGGTTACAAAATTGTATTCTAAAAGCATATTTCAAGGTGTTATGAGTAATATTAAATGCAGCAGAATGCACATTCCCGAATTATCATCATTTTAAAAACTTTTTTGTAGATACCCGTATATTGCTTTTGTGGGATTTTGGTACAGTTGATGATATGAATATTTGAGCAAATGGAAGGTTGAATATTTGAGTATTCAGCAATTTGAATTGACTCGGCCTTAAACTCTGCCTAGTAATCTATATTGTGATGTCAAAACCTGTAGCCTTTCAAGCCCCATGTTATCTACACTGGATCCTGCCGGTAATTCAAATTCTGTCTCTGACTGTAGAGTGGTCTCTTAACTGAGAGTGGAGCAGATCAGCTCAAAAGCCAGGTGGAGACACCAGTCATGTTGACCGTGATTGCTGAGTATGCCACGCTGGGTTTGGGGCTGTTAATAGTCATATTGGCCGTGGTTGTGCTGACTGTCACTTGGATATATAGACCTGTCAGGCAGCTTCCGTACTCGGTGAATGTATGAATCATTCTCATCTTCATTTCACCTTACAGTAGTCATTTCTCACTTTAAAGCCATTTCAGTATCGTTCCCTGAATCTGTTTTATAATTTGGTAACTGTTGAATGAGATGGTACCAGACTATTTTATGATTGGTGGGCCTTCTGAACCTCAATTTCAAGTTTTTTTCAAATTCTGCGTTAAAACAAATAAAGATATGTTTAATCACAAAGTTTATAAATCAAATTTCATGTTCAGTCATTGATGCTCCTGAGTTCCAAACATGAAGAGAAAGCCTCGCTTTCAATTTCAATATTGCTGAGTCGACCTGGGTTAGCTTTTGGAAAATTTGTAATTTGCAAGAGTATACTCCTGGCCTGATTAAGAGCAAACGTTTGTGAAGGGCAATATCTCATGGCATCTCCCTGATGCAAAATGGGTGATATTAATTGTAGGGTTTTCTAATGAAAATGTTCAGTAGTAAATTTCAGACCAGAGCACCAGTAGAAAACCTAAGCCTTTCAGGTTTGGGAAGAAATCTCTGAGAGTCACAGCTCTTGAGGTCTCTAAGCTCAAATCCCTCATCTGTTAGATTTTCTGTCGGCATGTCATTTCCGTTTCTGTTCATTTACCCCATTTGGAGTTACTTTTCTAAGTTACATATTTTTTTTTCTTTTCTCCCACAGTCTACTTCTCCAGAAGTCCACGCTGGCAGGTACCCTGGCAACTCCAGTGTGGTCCCAGTAAACCCCAACGGACCTGTGGTTCGCAATGTGAATGAGTCATCTCCATTGCTAGGTTGAGGAAAACTTTAGTTGTGTTTCTTATTACTTGGAGAACCTGTCTATTGTCCACACCAGTGCCCATCATGGAAATACCACTACCCTGTGTCTAAACCTGAAAAGGCTGAACCCCAAGACTGACAATACCAACTTCCCTGTCACCATAAGAATGCCATGTAAGGTGGAGTGGATCATTTGCAGCCTATCCAGCAAATCAACTGACCATGCTATTGATGATGATCATACTTGGGTCAAAGATAGTTACGTTGTTAAATTCCATGTTCCGTTACGCTGGCAGGCATGCTGACATTTTGAAAATCACAGTGAGAGAATGCCAATTTCACATCTTTGGAGCTTTCTATGGATACCACAGTCATGCCTTTGACATGTTATTGGGCAAATCCGTGAGTGGGTGCAGTACCCTCCCTGGTAGGATTTACTTGTAGTTTACTGAGACTCTTATGATTTAAATAGACATTGAATAGGAGTAACCAGTTGGATGCATATCATCAAGTTGGGCAGTGTATCAAGTTGGGCTCTTTCACCCACAGGAGGGACATACACGCTGGCGGTCAAGGAATATGCACCAATGAATTGTTTTTTTCTCATTCAGGCAAGTCTGAAATTTTGTGCAACAGAAGTTTTATACCCTAAAAACTATTTTTTTTTTCCTGCTGTTGGGCATCTGAGTGGAAAACACCCACAAGAAATTTGACATTACCAGTCTTTCTGAAGATTTGTGTAATCAAAGAAAACATAAAAAGTAATGCCTTTCATTGTCTCTTTACAAAACTTCATGCATCTGCCTTCTTGTATACACAGCTCCTTTGTGTTGACCAATCTTACATTTCAGAACAGGTTATTTTTAAATTTTTGAATGACTGTAAATTATGTGATGTCACTTAAAATTATTGTGGTATATGTATAGAGGAATTTTTTTAAATTGAATAATTAAAAGAAGAAAAATTCAAATAGTTTGAGAGTCTACATGTACAGTACAAAAACATCTTTTGAATAAAACCTCTTGCAAGCAAAACAAGTTTAACAAATAGGCAAATTTAATTGCCCAGCTATAACATTCAGAGCCGTTGCCATAATATGTTAATTCGGCTTTCCCTAAACATTCTCTGATGCTACTGAATAGCTTGATACCTTTGGATTTTTTCTTCCATTTTTTTTAGTGTAATTTGACACGTACATGTACATGCATTTTTAATTAGGAAAAGGAGTTTTTGACAGGCCACCTTTGAATATATACATTTATGACATGTGGATATCACATACTCTTCTAGTGTATTGCTTTTAACCAATCTGTCATGTCATCCAGCACTTGGATATGGGAGATGTTTCTTCCATACCCAAGGGCCGAAGGTCCTTATAATAGTGGCTGTAACCACTTCCTAGATGACTTCGTTATTTCCATGCTCAAGCTAGTTGACTTGGACATGACTTATCACTTGGGAGTTGGCTTTCATTGAAAATGTTCAAGAATCATTCTGTTTATGAATTTCTCAGCTTGGGCTCTGAATGTGGGCAGGTGTGTACACCAGCACCTCACAGTGATGACAGTGTTGTTCTTTGCTACTAACGTACCAAGCTTCCCTAGCATGCATCAGGAAGGAACAGGTACTGATCCAGAACCAATCTGGGGAAGGGGCAGATTTGAGGATTTATTTCTGTAATCTGTTTGTGGCTTTTCTAAGGATGAGGCTAAATTTGGGGACTTCTTGCGTGCTATTCCAAAAATATTGCATCTTTCTGGTAGGAGGAGTTAGCATGAGCCCTGATTTCCCCCCCCCCTTCCACCAGTGGAAGTGTAGGCATGCACACCAGCTGGACACTGCTACCTTTGCCGGCTCTTATCCCGTCTTTTTTTATTCCAACATACATTTATGCAAGCAGTCGTTGCATACCTCGGTACTTTCTAGAACACAGTCATTACAGTGCTGTGGCCTCATGGTTAAAAGCATTGGATTTGTAGTCGACAGGTCAAGCCGTAGGTTGTGGGTTCGAATCCAGTCTGGGGTCATGGTGCATGTGCCCTTTGTCACTCATTGCCTCTCCCCACCCAGGAGTATTTGGGTACCCTGTGAGGGTGGAAATGATTATTGTGATTGATTTAGCTGCTTTGCGCTGAAATGGCTGCAGCCGAGCTGTATACTCCCCAGGGAGCTGAGAGGGTATTTGGAATATTTCTTGGCCCAATGAGCAGGGGTAAAAATAATGTTGGGCATTGTAAATGCCTTTTTTATTATTATTATTAATGTAAGGATTTAAACTTCAAAATTGGAAGTTGTATTTTTCAAGTGAAGCTATGCTGATTTTTCCTTTTGTGATGAACTGCCCTGCAATTAATGTACAGTGGCTATTTTCCCAAGAGCTACTGCCATTTTTTTGTCCTGAAAGGAGACAGAGGATGAAACAGGTGACTGCCATTTGAATGCATAGCTGTGTCTATGTGCCATGCATGTGTGCTGGTGTGTTGCAGATTTTTTATTTTCCTGATTTGGCTGAGCATGTAAAAACAGTGGTGTCGACATATTTTCAGCCAACTACATGCATGCAAGTACTTTTTTTGACTGATTTCTTTTCAAAGTTTCTGTCTCACGTTTTCTTGTTTGTCATACACGTAACTTGTTTAGTGTGAGTTATTCTCAGGATTCTTTGTAATATAAGTGTGATCATTACTATGGAAAGATTACATGAGAAATTTATTTAATTATTATTTTGGTTGATTTAATCAAGCATTTCTGTCAGAAATCTGAGAAAGAATCTTGGAAAATCTTAGTATTGAAAAGTACTTTAAAACCATAACTCATTTGAAACTAGCCATCTTGTGTAAATTCTGAAAGCTTTATTTTCCTTATACTTCAACTGCATAGTATTCAGAAGCCTGGAGAGGCAGCCTGGTGTCAGTAATTAACAATGGGCCAGTTAGGTATTTCAGGAAGGTGGCGTCACTCAAGAACAAAGAGCCCAATGTTACACCAGTTTGAACATGTTCATTGTGTTTGAGTTGGCACATAATGGCCCTCACACAGGTCACATCATACTGTGATACAGCTGACCGAGCGTACACATTTTGATGTTCTCCTGTGACCTTCGACATATTTGATTTTGAGAATGCACTTTTCTGATTCTGAATACTAAGCTCACACCTTGTCCATGTAGCAGTCAATATTTGTAGACATAATAAGTATAATCAGTTGCAGGTTCTGCTTTCTGCTTTTTGAAATGGCAGAAAAGTAGAAAAGTCGAAATTCCATGTTACCAGAACATAAAACCTGCTTTTCTACCATTCTGATAGCAGAAAAGCAGATGGCCACTTTTCGTCCTCCACAACAGTGCCCATTTTGTCAGCATTATTACAGTGACTTTTATAAGTTAGTGTGGCCTCAAGAAGGTTCATGAAAAAGCCAAACCTTCCTGTTGGGATCATGATTTTTTACATTTGTAGGTGATACATGTATGTGACAGTTTTCTAGGAACAGTAATACCTTGGGCACTGATCGTCAAGCAATATAATAAATGAAATTTTTAAATGAGAAACCAAGCTGTAGATTTCACAGATGTATCGTTCAAATTTAACTGTGCTTCAGATTTTCACATTATTGAATACATGATATAAGATTACAAGTGCTCATAAGATTACAAGTGCATTTGAACTTGATTCTGTCTTTTCACCTTATCCTATTTATAACAGATCCTTACCCACAGATTCTGTTTCTTGATTGGCTGAGAACTAGTCACATGGCATGTGTTATTTTTTTCTGTCTTGCTGAGTACAGCCAAAAGTACTATGCCTGTAACAACCTAAATAGTATGTCTATCAAAACTGGTTCTGAGTGTAATGCCCAAGCACTAGTGCTATCGAGCTGGGTTCAAACCTTCCATGAAGAGGTACTTTGAAAATGTGTTTGTGAAATTCAACAAATTTTGCACATCAATGGAACTACTTTTTAAGGTTAACTTAATCAATGATTGAAATCAAGCAGAATCTGTGGGAGAGTTTTTGTAGACCAAAATACTGACTCTGTAGTAACCAGTACACCTGCCTTCTGAGGTATTCCATGGAGACTTAATTCTATTCTCAAATAGAATGCTTCATCAATTTCCACAGGAGGTTAGTTTTATGTCAGCACATCAAGTTAGTGAATCAGCATTGGCAATGTTAGACCCAAATTCAAGGATGCTGTCTATTATTAAAAAGTCTGATTAAATAAAAATATTGAACACTGACTTATTACCACAAACTGAAGCCACACAAGAATGCATAAAGATGAGAGCTTTGACAACATTAAATTCCCACAACAAATTAAATGTTTAACTCAAAACACAAAGCTGACGATTCTTTTTGATGCCAGCTTAGTGGCTTTCATGAATATAGTTATTAACACAAAAACAGAAACTACCGGTATCTCTCAGTCCCCAAACCCGTCAGATTGGTCCTCAAAACTTACTTGTAATTTCCCACAAAGAACTAAAACAAAGCCTGTTAAAGATCATGTCATAGATCTTTACACATCTCTTAGTAAGCAGCTGCAATTTAGTGAATATCTTTAGTAGCATATAATTCTGTAATTTACACTGAAAGTCTTATATTTGTGCTTCACCGGATTGAAAGGTTTCAGAATTTCCTGGAGTTTGTAAATTTTTAGATTGAATCATCCAGGTTTAGCCATTTTCTTGCAGTTGTTACCCAATCTAGCCACATTCATCAATTCTGTGAAAAGTCCAACTGAGAATGTTTCTGTCTACTTTGAAGCCAACTCTTGTTGAAATTGTTCCTCCCAATGAGTGCCAATAATTACATGCATCAGCTACACTTTGGTCAGCATTTCTGCGTTTTTACAAATTCCAGTTAAATGATGCTTAAACGTAGAATATTTACACAATCAAACTCAGTGTATGCACTCTGTATATATGTGCATACTTCACTGGGAAATGTGTTAACACTTTTATAAGCAAAGTCAAAGGGTTAGCAGTCATGCAAATAAGCTTATAAATATGTATGAGTGTACTTCAGGTAAAACACCAATCATGCAAGTGCTGTGCAATGATTAAGAACTGCTCTGTGTAAAATACTGCTCAGATCACCTGAAGACAAAATTGAACAAGCAAAACGAGCTGAGAAATACGTTTACAGAAACTTTAAGTATAAAATGGTATTTCTAATATATTTGCGTAAGAAGTAAACGTTGAGATGGCCTCTAAGGGAATTGTCGCACGAAAGGTTTCCAAACCTTTTTGACTTTGGTGAATTGAGAGTCTTTGTCAGGCACCTCAATTCAAGCTCAAGGTCTAGAAAGGTCAATTCAAGAAAGGTCTAAGAATAAAGTTGTCTCTTTCACTGAAAGTGTGCACCAGCAATCACAAACTCAAATCCCCTCCATGACCAGTGCTTGATTTTATTCCAAAAATCAACCACTATTCTCAACTACAGTAGCTGATGCTAAGCACATTTCCATAGTTTCACTTTGATTTTGTGGACTTTTTATTGAAAACATGAAATGTGTGTTAATATTTTCAGGCCCATTCTTCCCAGCACAAACATGCTTCAAGTTTATGTGTCCCTGTTCTTTGAGTTGACACCGTCAAGAAAAATCTTTAAGTTGAGACCACTGATGAGCTCATTTTTGGCACTGGATAAGATGTGGACTTCATGGTGGGACGCGTACTGCACAAACTATTTGGTCCATAAGTTAAACAGGGAATCCCAGAGTTCATTCGATTGGCTCTACATCCAAGGGAGACTTCTGATAAAGATTCATTGTGCGTGATTCTTTGAAGGAACAGGGTTGGAAGGATCTTGTTTGAGCTCCAGTAATCATATTGATGCTACTCTGCCACCAGTTCGATCCAAAACCCACGTCTATTGATGAAGCCATCACTCATAAACTGAATCCATAGCTGGTTGCCATCGGATACCAAATCTGCTGGTAGGAAGAAGTTGTTCAGACACAGGAGTTCTGTGGCATCACTGACGGTGTCCCCATTGCCAATGTGCAGATAGTCAGTTGTCCCCACATCAATCTCCACATCACGGAAGCTGACTCGGATCTTGGCAGCCGATGTGGTCACCATGTACTGGCAGTTGATGCCCGTCACATAGTCAGCCGGGTAGTTGAAAGAAGTAAGGGTGTATGTGCTGCCCGGACCTCCAAGACTGATGATGGTGTTTCCGCAATCTTGTCACACACAAAAACAAAAAAGAAATAACCATTAGGCCTGAGACAACGATGACATTTATTCTACATGAAACTGACTGCATCATATACTGTGGGAGTCTAATTTGGACAGCACCCATGAGGATAAAAAAGGGAAGAAATTTAAAAAATATCAAACAGGTGGGAAAAAAAATGGAGCAAGGGGATAAAATCACAATGTGCTTGAAAACACCTTGGCGTTGACCCCTCTTCCACCATACATGGATTAGTCAGTTTGCTGTTCCTGATTGCTTTGCCCACCCCCACTCCCCCCCCCACCACAAAAGTCCCCAGTGGTGATGCTCATGACAGCAATATCTTCCCCATGTTGAGACTGAGCACAGCACAGGAATCTAATGGCACTCAAACTCCCTACGCCAAGGTTGTTGGGGACATTACGAATGTTAACATTTTCGTACCATCTTTAGCTTGCACCGTAACAAATCCAAACCGCAATGTACATTTCAAATTACAATAAGTTTCTGTCAATGAATAAACATTACTCAACACTGTAAACTGTGCAGCTTATTACCTGCAGTTTGGCCACACATATGCTCATCGTTGTTGGCAGCACAATCTTTATAACGGTTACACCTAGTTCTGCCTTGTAAACACTGGTCCTCGCCACACTGAACCCCATGAAGAGCCAATTCACAGTATGCAGGGAAATCGAAACCTGTAAAAAAAAAGAAAGTGATTTCTTAGCTTGCATATGAATTTCTTGTATACCTCCCCCCTTGCAAGTGACATTGGGAAATCACAAATGGTCAACGCTGCGCACTTTTTATGCACATACAGCACGGGCACAATTTAAAAACAATGACATTTCTGGGCTTACTCGATCCAGCAGATGTGTATCGCCACACTCGGACCCAAAAACCCCGCCCAACTCCACCACCACTGACAAACACTAGGGCGAATCTGGTGCCATTTGTCAGGTGCAAGCTGATTGGTGAGTCGATGTCAGGGGTGACCTGTGACCCTGTGGCTTGATTGATGGCATAGAGCCTGTCACCGGCGCCAAGTTGAATGTCCATGACAACAAGGCGGAGTGACTGAGATAAGAAAAAAGAAGTTACTGTGAGACAAAACTGGCTGCCCAGAGTCTGCTTGTTAAAGCAAACCACAATGTTTTTAAATCATCATTTTACCAGCCTTACATAGTAGCTGTGTTTGTCCTTAAAATAACTTGGTGACCTAGTTTCCCAAAGAGACTCATGGAGTTTCATCATCCATACCTTTGCCCCGTCAGAAAGTTTCAGAGACTGATACACAGCTGCATTACCTGCGACTTTGCTTAAAATCATCAAGTAAAAAAATCACGAAAGAGCTTACAGCTGCTCAACCTTTAAGAAGAAATTCATGCTCTGTTAAAGATCATTAACTAATCATGTACAGGTGAGAAAGTTTGTCTTGCCAAATTTCAAGAGGTTACACGATATTGCTTTTGATATGGCAGGCATTTTTAAACTGTCTGAAATATTTTCAAGCAGGTATAAGCAACGGCAATGGGTTCATACTGCACTTACTACAACACTGGTAGAATCGATATTCCAGCTAGCATTGCATGGCCGATACTCTCCAGGGTAGTTAACAGACACTATGTCGATGTGACTTACACCATCTAGTGTGAAGCCTACATTTTCAGTCAACTCCATCTGACAACCTGAAACACAGGAAAGATCAAAAGATTAGTCCCAAATTGATTCGCAATGATAAATTTCAATTCTACTAAGACTCACATTTAAGATGTCAGCCAGCTAACACAAATTAAAAACATGTGTCAGGCTACAAAGTAAAGAGCTGACTGGTAAACAAAAAGGCTTTCTATTCAGACACTCTATCAGAAAAGTCAGTCATGAATGTTTTGCATTCATGCGATGGAAAGGATCAAATTGATTCAATGACAGATCCAATGTTCTATTCCACAAGGCAAATTTTTCATGTTTGCTTTTCCTGTTTATTTCTTTCAATTTTGGGAGGTTTCTTTTCATTCGCTTGTTTAAAGAGTCAATATTTTCCGCTGAAATGTTTGTTGTGGAGTAATACTCTCAGCAAGTAGTTTATTTTTCCTAAACCTTTCTATTTTTGCACTGCTAAAGGAAGGAATGTAAGCAGAATGGATCCGTCATGAGATATGCTAATTTCCTACTTGGTGGGCAGTTCACTTCATCCTCTCCACTCAGGCAATCATTGGAGCCATCGCATCGCTTGGAAATGTTAACACATGTTCCGTTTAGGCAAGGGAAACCATCAAACTCAGCACAGAATGAATAGGAATCTGGGTATAAGTCACCTGAGGCAACAAAAAAATGAAGAGAAAAATGAAAGTCCACCGGCCTATTCATCAGGCTTGCATATAAGTATTCAAGTACTGAGTCAGTCAACCAAAAGGATATAGGAACAATTAATTTCAGTTAAGTCAATCCGTATAGATTTTGGTTTCAGACAGGCACAATTACAAAACCCTATAAAGTTCTTCATTGAAAAGAGTGAAAACACGCCTTCAATTGTTCCCACTTGGAGCGACTTCTTCCCCATTCAGAATTTTTCATTCGCAAATTATGAAAAATAATGAAGCCGGTAATAAGTCGGTTAATATGAGGGACCCTCTAAACCCTATCCACATTGTCCATGTGTCACACTCTGTGCGTCCTATTGGAACGACCATGTAGGGCGCAGCTACTAAACAACTGTATTAGTGTGTTGTCTATTTATTCCCTGAGCATCTCCAGTTAATGGGGGCACGTTTAACACTGAGAGTATTTAAAATTTATACCAACGTGGATTTGTGGTGGAGTACAACTGCAGCAGAAACCCACTGGCAGGTTTTGGAGTGGAGACATCGGAGGTGAAGTTTAGCCAGATGGAGTCGCCATCAAACACGCGATCCTTGGCGTGATTGGAGCCATTGGTTATAGCAGGCAGCATACCGGAATACACTGCCAGAGAAGTGGTCCGGTCAGTTTCATCCAGGCCACTGCCAACTGTCAGAAGGTCGGACAGTTCAGTGTCAAACGTGATGAACCTCATACGTACGTGGCTACCAGATGGGGCTGAAACACGCAGGATACATTCTTGCATGTTTGGATAGGGCAAGCCAACGTCATATGATGGGGATAACACGAAGTATCCAACACCTGTCCCGCTCAATTCCGTTAAATTCAGAGAAGTTGATGAGGTGCACAAAGTATTCTGAAATCCTGTGATTCAGAAAGAGCCACAAACACACAACAAATGTTATGTTCTCCATGTAAATGCATCATAATGCCTTACTCTCTGATACATGAAATCACATACACCCTAACAAGGGCAATGTTATCTTAGACTGTGCACTGAGTTTACAAGTAAGTTTCCCTGCCAACATCCTCAGTTCTGGCAATGTTTTGGCGACAGTAAGCATCTTGAGTAATACCAAAGACTTTAGCACAAAATAATACAACTAAACCTTACAACAAAAATATGAATCCTTTGCAACTTAAGTCAGTTAGCATCTAGGACTTTGGTTTTTTTCAAATTACACCTGCATAATTGCCCCAGCAGTCTCCAAATCAGTGCACAGTTGCTAACTCGTGTAATTTGCAGGCTGTAACCAAGTTATTTTTCTACAAAGCTTGACAGTCAAGTCACAAGTCAATTTTCCCCCATATCAAATCAACAGTCCTAAGTCATTTTTAAGCCTATCTGATGATAATGACATACTTGAACAATTCTTCTGTCACAGTGACAGAAAGGTAATTTTTTTCTTTTCATAAAAGTTCACACTCATAGCATGTAAGGAAAGTTTTACATACGAGGACAGAATACAAGAAGATTTAATGACGTTTCCCTGTCTTTGGTGCTTAATTTATAGAGTATAGAAGTGTGACATCATTTTGAACAAGGAAGTTTGCAAACGAATGGAGTACGCAAGCATGTGGGTTCACGCGCTGGTTCTTGCACTAATGCCTTTCACACACATAATTGTGCGTGAGACGTAGTCACTTCAGTACTCTATTGTTCTCAGTGGTAAGTGCCAGTTGTGTTTCGTCTATTAGTGAGTTACATTGTATATATAGGAACATGAAGGAACCCAATGCCCTTTCCTCTGTGGTAATTATAGTAAAGCATGACCATGTGTTTGTGCACATGCATTCTGTCTACCTCAAAGCAAGTCACAGCTAGAAAGTGCCTCCATCCCTGAGGCACGCGCAATTTCTTCCACCGAGTGTACACAAATTGTTTTACCATTACATTTCAAAGGGCGCCACTTGCCAGCACACAGAGGTCACATGTTCTCTCCATGCTTGCAGGGAGAGGAAAATGTTCCATGCTCAATATACTCTTGTATCACAATGCACAAATGGATAATTTTGTTTCATTTCTGCTATCTTGATAACAACCTTACTGTGAGGAGCATTCTGTCAGCCTAATCAGAAGTATACGCTTTTGTCAGCCATTTGCACGCTGAGATGCATGCTCATGTTAACTGAAGCACCACATTCAAACTCAGCCAGAAATGAGCAGTATTTACTCACCAACAACTGTGACATTGAAGGAGCACTGCTGTGAATTGTTGAAGGCATCCACCGCAGTGTGTGTGACAGTCGTGGAGCTTACGTTGAAGACTGATCCTGATTGGTGAGTGGAGTCATTCCTCATCAACGGCAAACGTGAATTGTCACTAACATTGACGGTCCAAGTGGCCACTCCTACAGAACATGAAAATCAGGCACACTATATAGTTACTGTAGAATGACCTCAGACTTTTGTTTAGACTGTTCCTTTACAATTTGCTTTTTTAGCTGCATGTTGCTGCCATATTAAAACCGTAAAAGGTAACATTGGTATTAGAATAGATCTCAGCCATCATCTGGCAACAAAACGTCATCATCTTCAGATGGTAGTCTAACAATGTGCCGGGTTTGAAGGGAATCGGCTTAAAGCAAAGACCAAAAGTCCAGTGCAGAACAACCCTGTGTTATGTCCATGGGGAAAAGTGAAAAAAATAAGAAAAAAAAAGAACAACAAACAAAAACAAAATCTGTTTCAGCCACTGTCCAAAACAGCTAACTACAACAAATTACAAAAGTGTGGACAGAGCAGGAATGGTGGAGTTCTTATATCTCTCAGATTTTTAATCTCCCCAAAGTTTTGTTCCATAGGTTTCTTGCCACACCATTTGGTTTCAAGGGTGCTAGAAGTAAAGAATCCCTTCTGGATGCCAATGAATTAATTCCTAGGAGTTCCAGAGAATTTGAATAGCTCTAATAGTTTTGATATCCAAGAATAATCCTACAGACACACTTCTGGACACATTCAATTAAGGTGCAAAGTGATGAATTTTTTTCCGATTATATGCCAAAAAGAACAGTGAGTGATTACCTGAAAACTGCAACGGTATAGAGAGATGGTTGCTGTACACTATGACTTCAGAGGGGCACTCCAGCGTTGGTGGTACGTCGTCTGTGAGTGTAAGCCAGGACAGAGTAATTACAAAGTGTCATTTTTGTGATAAGACTGATGCGACTTGTGGATCTTATGACAGCGGGATTCTTTTTCTCTGCTTTTGGTGCAGGTTCCAATCTTACCAATGTCATACATGAATCTAAGGAGACATGATAACTGCATCGGCACCACACTGGTGTGTATCCTTCAATTTGAGTGAGTATACATTCATTATGGTAAGCCGCAACAGCCACTGATCAAAGAGGAATGTAATGCACATAAATTGTTCAGAGGAATTTAAGTGTGCAGGAGAAACACTCCCTCTTGTGAAATTAAGATGAATGAGCACGTTCTGTATTTCAGAAAAGTGAAGATTAAAGGAAAAAGCACCTAATGTGCCGTACCAGCTCCGACACATGTTCAGAGTGTGTAAGTTGGCATTCTTGATGTTCTCATTTGACCTAGCTATGAAACACTTCATTTTGTGTACATGCTATTGGAATACCAAACTGCACGACTAACTGAAACCACGTGAAGTTCCAGCGGTTATTTTGAAAGCTTCCATTTTGACTACTTAGAGGAAGTGATTGAATTTCTCTGATGACCCTTTCTTACCTTGGACAGTAATGGTGAATGTACAGTTGTTTGTGTTTCCAGAGCCATCTTCAGCCGTCAGAGTGATGATGGTCAAACCTATATTGAACATGTTGCTTGAGGCATTGGACATCAGTGTGGGACGGTTCCCATCATTATCAGTCAGGTTCCGGGGTTGCAATGTAATAGTGGCAAATATTTCGCCTGCATCCGTGGAAGTGACGTTATCATTCGGACATATCAGAACGGGTGGTTCTTCATCTGTAAACAAAAATTATTTTTTCATTCAGGGTGATTGGTTCTTAAAATTGGGAGGGCATTCAGATTAAGGGAATAAATTTGTCGACTCACAATCTGTAGTGTCTAAATAACTTCTAATTCTTACGTCTGTCTTAAAAGAAAATATACCTATGACTGTAACATTTATGCTGAACATGACAGTGTTCCCAGATGAATCTGTTGCCATGTACATGACTTCATTGGTTCCAATATCCAGCATGCTGTTGTTGACCGGTGACGTTGTGATGTTTACCTCCCCTCCAGAATTGTCCATTATGTTGGTTGGCAATGGAAGGCTAACTATAGCATTGGGTTTCCCAGGATCAGTCAGCACCTCAAAGTCCAAAGGTGGGGTCAGCGTTGGAAGCTCCATATCTATTTGTACAATGTAGTGAAAATTATGTTCTTTGGACAAATGTTCTTGAAAATATTCAGCCTTTCTCCTCAAAAAGTTAACTTTTTTTACAAAGACTGTGACAGTCTGAAGCCTTCAATTTATTGTGCAATGTATAGCTTTATGCATTTACTGTCCGACATCCTTGTTCTTCAACTTTGTTAACACTTAAATCATTTCAATATTGGGTAGTAATCTCCATATTCAAAAAAACACACAACTTCATCTCTGGTATGGATAAAGTAATAAAACTGGTTTATTTGTGGCACAAAAATTAAAAACCGAATTACAGAAAAGTAAAGAAACTGCACAATGACTGTACAACGTGCAAGCTTGTTGAGGTGCCATGACTCGCAATTCGGTCACCCTGCAACTGCATGATCAAGCATTGTTCGTATTTCGAATCCATGTCACATCATTATATTTTCAGAAGAAGAGAGTTTAACTTCAAAATAAATTTGTCGAATTTGATCCTCGAACTGAATAAATGGGGTTCAAATTTCTGTCGGAGAACTGCGAATCCTGATCTCCGCTGCCTTACAGGTGACTCTGATACAACGTCCTGTGGTCCAATGGTCTATGGATATTTGCTAGAAAATTTACAAGAGCCGCTCCTTGAACTCCAAAAACAATCATCATTTTTTGGATTTTTTTCGAAACAGTTCAGCATCAAAATGTGAAATAAATCAATGGATTGGTATCAGTAAATAACCATCACCCCAAAACCCGACTTTGCTAATTTCTAAATATTACTGCAAATGCAAATCCGACACATCCCCTCAAAACATCCCCTCTGCATTTTACGAATTTCAAGCGTTTCAAGTTGGCAAATTGACCCTGGCACACCTCCCCATATTCGCTACGCCGCTGAACTCATTCATATTAGGTTTACTGCTTATATTTTGGGAACAGTGTGGGCCCAACTACAAAGCCTCACTTAGCAGATAGCATGAAAGTTTTGCTTATATAGCATTTTTTGCCATGAATTCGTTAATAATTGCACACAAGGCAATTTGGGATGCTACATCACTGATTTAAGCACCTTTTCCTCTGGGGTTAAGCTTGATTTTCCTGTGTTTATACAGCTTAACAGTCTCTGAGAAATGGAAGGAGGCTCTGTCAACACAAAATTAGGTAATATGCTATGACATTATGCCCAGCTGACTTTCATAATGAATTGATTGGCTTTTGCCATCAGAAACATCATCTAAATGGATTCTGCAAAGGTGTTCCCTCACAGCACACAAAGTCAGGCTTCATGAAATCACTGTTAACGCCATTACTAAACTATGCTCAAGGTACAAGGGACTGACCTGTGATGGTGACTGTCAGATTGCACATTGCTGTGTTATTGCTAGTATCCGTGGCAGCATATGTGACCATGTGATTGCCAATACCGAGGATAACCGCCCCGGACAGGACGGATGTGACTGTCACTGATTCCATGGAGTTGTCACTTGCTGTGGCGTTAGGCAAAATGACAGTGGTGTTCGCTCGACCCCTATCGGCACTTCTGTTGAAGTTGGCTGGACACATGATGTCCGGATCTTCAATATCTACATGGATTATAATCATATAAATCTTAGACAAATTAATGCCTGCCCCTGTCATCGGTAAAGAAGATAGCATGTGGCAGTGTTCCCCAATGAATGTGATGATCTCACCTCGGACAGTAATGGTGAATGTACAATTGTTCATGTTTCCGGCACCATCTTCCGCTATCAGGGTGACGATGGTCGACCCTATACTGAACAAATTCCCAGAAAAATTGGACATCAGGCTGGGTATCTTCCCATCATTGTCGGTCAGGTTCTTTGGCTGGAATGTCACATTGGCAAATGCTTCCCCCAAATCCGTGGAAGTGACGTTGTCTTCCGGGCATGTCAAGACAGGTGGCTCTTCATCTGTATACACAAAAGAATAGCATTTGCTGGCACTGGGTGTACTGAGATACTGTATATTGAGATTTCTCGGCACCTCTAGTTTGGTTGCGATATTGACTGTTACTCCTGAAGGTGGGTGTATATTTCCAACAAACAAAGAGGCCTAGGCCTTGAGTCAGCCATTCCCAATGTTGTCTTCCCTTATACATATAGCTGCTTCACTAATTCACGGGATTCACCGATGATTTTGTAGTCACTCTTTGCTGTTGTGCGAGTATTTCCATGCTCATCACCTGGGCAAGCACAGTGCTAAGGTAATTTATGATTTCCTGAAGGACTCACTCTTTTGGACGCATTTAACAATTAAACAAAACCATGGCTTTTTTAAGTATGCACTGCACCAACATGGAAAAAAATATTCAGTGAATAGTTGCAAGAGTTTCTCTCAAAAAGTTCCAAATTACCAAATGAAATGGCAGTACAACACAAATTTAAAATGAACTGGCATCACAATTGGCCTGCTTTGGAATTAAAACCACTTTTGAAGGGCAACATTTCCTTTACAAATACATGTATATATCTTTTGTTTATGACTTAATTTGTCTTCTATTAGATTTGGGCCATTTAACTACAAAGTCGTAAAAAGTGGCACCGAAAAACTTAATGTGAGCCACAGATACACAGTAACTGAAGAAAATAATGATTGTGTGACATTTTCTTTGAATACTGTCTATGACGTTTAGCTTACATGTCATCAAAGTTCCTAAGGATACCTGAGATGCCTCGTGAAATCAACCCATGATTTGGGAACTCAGGCCACCTTGTCCAAATCATTTGGCAGAAGCTGAAAATTATACACAGGTCTATGATCATAGTGACCACAGCAGTTCCCATAGAGTCATGTGTAATTACAAGCCACAGCCAAGAGATTCAGATGTGACTTACTGCCATTGACTTTCGACAAACTAAATGTATTCCTCATTGTTAATTCACATTGTGCTAATAAGAAAAACTCACCTCTAACTACAACACTGATATTAAATGTGAGAGTGTTTCCAGATGGGTCTGTCAACATGTACGTGACCTTGTTGGTTCCAATATCCAGCACGCTGTTGTTGGCCGGTGACGTTGTGATGTTTACCTCCCCTTCAGAATTGTCCATCACATTGGTTGGCAATGGAAGGCTAACTACAGCACTGGGTTTCCCAGGGTCAGTCAGTGTTTCAAAATTAGGTGGGGGTGTTGCTGTTGGCAGCTCCATGTCTGGGATTGGTCACAAGTTTCAAGACAAATTATTTCGTTTGTTAAAAATGAACCTTGAGAATTGAATTTTCTTCCAATATTGGAATTATTAATCACTGTCAATAAATCATACGATGTATATTAACTGGTGAGACTTAAAATGCAACATTTAAAAAACAGCACACACATGCACATTAGGCATAGTCAAGGCTCTTCAACGGACACTATACTATATGCACACAGAAGGTATGATCATGGTTCTTCACAGGGATAGACAAACTTTAGTTGATACACCAATAAATGTCATCATCCACCAGCTCCATCTTCTATTAGATGAAGAAATTTCAGGACTATATATAAAATATAAGTGATGGCTACAAATGTTTCTTATAGCAAAGATCAATGATGATCTCAAACATAAAAAAATGTGTGTTAAGCAGTAATCTATTCAAAAAATGAAAACTTTGTATCCCAGTTTGACGCTGGACTGAGAAAGTAAAGCTACAACTTAAACAAAAAGTGCAATCATGCATATAAAATAAATACGGAATTATAGCCTTGCACTGAATGAAAAAAAATCTTTCATTTGGTGATAGACCAAATGCGTGATTCAACTTGGCTTCATCACTTGGATTAATACATTCAATCTGTCACCTCCACAAAAATTCCTGCCATAGCACTAAAACTGCAATTCTTTGTCTCCCAACCAACTTGAAATACATGTAGATTGACTGCATATCAGGAAAGACTATGTGAGAATTTTTCCATCTCCCACTGGCACGCTGCAAATCTGACTTTCTTATTTTCATTCAATTTTCTATTATACAACTTGCAGGGATAAAGAGAACTGCATTTTTTGCTACTTTTACTGTTTAAAAATAAGTCAAGACAAAAGCTAAGGGTTCGCAAGCTATTTCATTATGGGAGGCAACGGTGGCAGTTTTTACTCTTTACACAGCTGTGATCTTGGCCAATTTCTGATACCTATAGACTGACCTACGACTGTGACTGTCAGATTACAGAGAGCTGCATTACGGCTATCATCCATGGCTGTATATATTACAGTGTGCCTGCCAATACTGAGGGTAGCCGATCCAGACGGAACGGAGGTGACTGTCACTGTCATGGAGTTGTCACTTGCTGTGGCACTAGGGAAGATGACTGTGGTGTTTGCTTGACCTTTATCAGCACTTTGGTTGAAACTGGCTGGACATGAGATGTCTGGATCTTCATTATCTGAAAGGGCAGGAAGAGACAGCCTTTAGAAGATCCACATTTCGAAAAACTATTACAATTTGTACTCAAAAACCTGGTTCCAAACGCTTAATAAGATGGCCCAGACCATCCATTGTTCTGGGTGACATTGATGGAACTACAGTTAATTATAGTCGCCATACAAACTTGCCAAAGGATTCCGAATGAACTTGTTCCATGGCAATGTTTTATGGCAATGAATGATGTATCTCTAGGGTTTCATTCAGTGGTAAGTCCAAAGCTGCTGAAAATGCAGGACATAAAAAGTTCTTATCAAACAAAATTTCACAATCTGAGTCTATTTTTCACAGCAGGGACTGCACAGATAAAAGAACTGTACCAAATGAGCCATATCTGACATTGTGATAATGCTTAGAAAGCCCTTCCTCACCTTGAACAGTGATAGTGAATGTACAGTTTTTCATATTGCCGGAGCGATCTCGTGCCGTCAAAGTGACATTGGTGGATCCTATGTTGAACATGTTCCCAGTGGGGTCAGCCGTCAGGTTGGGCATGTTTCGGTCATTGTCAGTCAGGTTCCGTGGGTCAAATGTCACAGTGGCAAATGCTTGGCCAGCATCTGTGAAAGTGATGTTATCATCCGGGCAGATCAGAACAGGTGGGTCTTCGTCTGCAAAGGAGACAAACAGGTTGAAGGTACAACTTAGGAGGCATATGAACAAATTCTAGAACACACAAGCACTCAAAATGGAGTTTCGTGCCACTTTTCAGAGAGGCCGGTTACTCCCAACCATGTTTCAGCACTGTCAGAATCTCATTTAAAATCCATCTGTAAAGGTGAGATGCTAATACATAAAATTTACTACGAAATGAAAACAATTACTTATTTTCAGCAGAAGAGGGTATGTGGCCTAGTGGTTAGGGATTGTAGTTTCTGACCATAAGATTGGGGGTTCAAATCCAGCTAATGGCAGCATGTTGTGATCTTGGGCAAGTCACTTTATCCCCATGCGCCTCTCTCCACCCTGGAGTAAACTGGGACCAGATGTGGTTATGGTTAGCCATTTGCACCAAAATGGCAGCATCAGGCTAGTATACTCCCCAGGGAGCTGAGATGGTTTCAGGAATGTTCAGATGTTGTGGGCCCAATGTGCAGGGATAATGATTAAACATATGTAGTGCCATGAGTGCCTGGTGGATTTGTGTGCTTAACAAGTGTCCATTATTATTACTATTATAAATAAGTCTACAGCATGATCAGACTAGAAAGTGACAGAAACTCAATTCTGATTTCCTTTGTTTACTGAAACATATCTCTGGACAACCAAAAGCAAATTAAAGTTAGTGTCCTCTTTATAACATGGCCGGTTGTCAATTTATTTGCAATGAACAGGAATTTGTTTGCACCAATTTGGTTTTTTGGGGGGCACACTCTATACAAAACCTTTAATGCATCAAGGAGAAATTAGGGCACCTGAGCTGTAGTTGAGATCATCACAAGACAAGAGAGGTCATAATATAAGAGTGGTCTCAAGACTAGTCACAAAACCAGTCACAAGACAAGCCACATGACCATCACTGGTAACAGGCTGAACAATGACCCAGGATGCATACATTTGGTGCACTTCATTTCAATAGCTTGAGACTTGAATTTAGAACAGATCGAGGTCTTGTGTTGATCTGGTGATGGCCTTGTGGGGTCCAGTGGTGGTCTTTAGGGGTCTTAACAACAACGCTACAAGACATTTGTCAAGTAACAGTAATCAGACGTAGCATTTCAGCACCACGGTGTCACGATCGGGGGCAACTCACCTACGACTGTGATCACAATTGTGAATGTATAGTTGTTCCCATAGGGGTCTGTCACATTGTATGTGACTTGGATTGGCCCAATGTCCAGGATGCTGTTATTGGCCTGTGATGTTGTGATGGTTACTTCCCCTCCAGAATTGTCGATCACATTGGTCGGCAGCGGAAGGCTGACCGTAGCGTAGGCTTTCCCAGGGTCAGTCGGTATTTCAAAATTAGGCGGGGGCAATGCTGTTGGGGGCTCCACATCTATTCAACATAAAGGAAACTTTCAAATGTTTTAAGACGTTACTAGTAAAGAGGTATAACTCACTGAGTTTGAAAGAGGGTGCCCTTTTGCCAAGCACATAACACTACTTATCTAATTCAAAGACCTAATTTTGGCATCAGGGACATTTATATTGGGCATTTACTAATGTGCACATTATTAATTCATAAACAATGTAAACTCAGTGTTGTTTTAAGGCTTGTGAAGAAATTCACAAAATTATACTTGGAGGGACTCAAACCTACTCCCTTCTAACTAGTATACACATTCTACCATTCACCAACCAAGCTTATAATGGTCGGTAAACAGGAGGTCATGTATTTGAGTAACAGTCAAGTAATTTTTGATGGGCCAGCCGGACAATTTTTTCCAATCATGCCGTCCTTCGCGAGTCTTTCTGCTTGTATCTCACAATTACTCCGTCACAACTTTCACAAAAATATCATTCTTCACAAAATGTCCCTTTTCCCAGAGACAAGCAAGCTAAAAGGTCAACTCTTCCCACTGACCTCACCTAATACATCTATACACAGACTGGCATGCATGACTACATTACCAGTGGAACAAATGCAAGCATCAATAAAACTTTTTTGCTGGCCTAGACTGAAGCTTCATCTACTTGTAATTGATGTCACATCAAGTTTTGAAACAGCTTCGTCTAGTACTGCCAACTCAAAAAATGTCAAACATTTAAACATTCCACACATTTTTTACAGAAAAATGCATTCGTTAAAAGTGTATGACACCAAATAATTAAACTGACATACTTTTATTTATAATTTAGTCAACACTTACCTCTAACAGTGACAGTGATGTTGCACGATGCTGAATTCCCACTCTCATCAGTAACAGTGTACGTGACAGTGTGGATACCGATATTAAGGGTGAGTGACCCAGAAGGATCGGTGGTGACACTCAGGTTTGTCATGGAGTTGTCCGTTGTCACGGCATTAGGTAGATCGACTGTGGCAGTGGCTCGCCCACTGTCAGTGTTCGGACTGAGGTGGGCCGGGCATGTGATTTCTGGATCTTCCTCATCTAAACAGATATCATGCAAACTGATTAAGAACATTGTTCTGACATTTCAACTCCAATGTCTGTAATCAATTTGAGACACCGTGAACAAATGCCACAAACATAGAATCTGTTATTACTAGCATCTAATTTAAAGTTGCCATTAAAAAGATGTTTCTATTAAGAAATATCATTGCGCTTTCTAGAAATACATGTAATGAAAGAGGACCATACTCATTTTGATACGATTTTTGATAAAGAATTTACTGTCTTTGTACTTTCAAAGAAATTTACACACCAGACAAGGAATTACTCATTTGGAAAACAACGCAAGAGAGTTAATGATTTCAACTACACTTGTACGGCTTAATAGCAGACTCTTACTTCAGGCAGACATGAAAGCAAAGTGAAGTTGAAGTCACAAGAGTTTCGCAGCAAAATTCACTTCAGTTAGAATGTGTTCCTCTTTTAATTCACTGCACCAATATTTGATCCAACATCACAAAATGGTGTTTGTGTTTGCTTTTGTGCCAAGGGAGAACTGACATCTTGACAATTTCAACATGGGAAAAGACCTACTGTGTGCATGTACAAGCATGCAGGGTACAATGATATTGTGAAAAGGTTCTTGTACTGCATAGTTAGATGATCAAAAATTTCTAAATCATCTTTGCAAGTACAATTTTTAATTTCCAACTTCCAAAAACCATTTTATACCGGTAATATATTTTATAAATTGTATACTTTTTTTGATGGCAAGAAAAAAGTCCATTTGGTTTGGTTTGTACTAAGTATACTTATTAACATTTATCGATTTGTTTACCCCTAAAGTTGATGTTAGCAAATCTTTACAAGCACATGTGTAATCGCAATGCTGACGTACTTGGCTTATACCAACCTTACCTCGAACTGTGATGGTAAAATTGCAGGTGGCCCTGTTCCCTGCAGTGTCTGTGGCGTTGAATGTCACCAGTGTATCACCGATGGGAAATGCACTTCCAGAAGGGTAGTCTGACGCAACAGCAGAGATGCCCGAATTATCAATGACTGTGGCTGTGAAGTTGACCCGTGCAGTGGGCATCCTAGCATCGGTGGTGGTGTTGACATCATCCGGACAGGACAAATCTGGCGTTTCAAAGTCTGGGGATGAATGAAAAAATATTTCAGAGCACGGGTATTGTTGGGGCAGCACGACGTATCTTCTCCCTGGTGAAAGCATTAGGGATTGGGTTTGATGGTGGGGCTATAGAAATCATTTGCCATTACGAGCTACTGGTTATAAATTTATCTTTGCGAATTTGTCTATACACAAGTTCTATTTCTGGCAGGCTCTACAATTCAAGTCCATAAAGTAATACTGTACAACTTTAATCCTTATTCATCTGTGTTTTGTCCCTTTCTTTGGAGGTGGGTCCTGGATGAAGTTTGAAGCTATCCTCCCTTAACAACTGTGGCACCAACTGCCCAGTCGATGCACACTCAAGCAAAAGGCCTGCACTATTGGAAATATACCAACCCAATCCAATCCACAGAGGTCGGTCAATTAACTTCAATAATCCTAAGCAGCTAATTTCATGAAATGTGGCATAACGTTGCATAGCTGTGCCACATTTTAATAATATTGAATTTCTTGGACAAGAACAAAAGTGACTTTTATAGCAGCTGTTCCTTTCCAATATAACAACAGACGTCAAACAGTGGCTGCCATTTTGAAAAAGTATTTGTCTTGTCTTTGTCGGAACCGGACCGAAAATCTTATGGCCAAACAAGTTTTTATTACCTTCTAAAATAAAGTGGTGTGTTTCTCGTATAAGCCTTGTTAAGTCTAGCAAAGATGAGCTTTAACCAAACACAGTGAGTTTATTTAATCAGTCATTTTTGCTTTGTTCAGCAAAACTTACACTACCTAAAATGACTGTGTAAGTTATGCCATAATTAGTTGTGCAAGCCCCAGACTTAAGCAGTGTGTAAGTTTCGGGAAAGTGCTCTTAATTTGTTGCACAGCATACGCTATAAAATGTGGCATGACGTTATACCATTGCATAAAGTTTCATGAAACCAGCTGCAGGACACAGAGTGTCTCAGGTTATTTCCACTGTTGAGCTATCTGCTCATCAATCTGAAGTTTTTGGGACAACCAAAACTCACCCACTACTGAGACAGACAGATTACACGATGCCATGTTCCCTGATGGATCCGTTGCAGTGTACACGACGGAGTTCATCCCAATGTCCAGCATGCTGTTGTTGGCCGGTGAGGTAGTGACGCCAATGTCTCCCCCTGAATTGTCGATCAGCAATTCAGGGGGTGGAAGGCTGACATTGCCAAAGGACTGCCCTTGATCTGCCCGTACTGTGTAGACCGAGCGACACATAATCTTAGGAGGCTCGTTATCTGAGATAAACAACAGGCAAACATTGACACAATATGAACATGCGCAATCACAGGGCCATGGTGTCTGAGTGCTTGGCATAAAAAAAACAGGCATGCAAGTGTCAACAAAGCTCATCTTTTCAAAATCACTTGTGAAAATTTACTTGTACGCAGAGCTGAACTCCGCAAGGTTATCATTTGCAACACTAACGCTGCCTTTTAAGATGCAGAGCTGTCTCCAGAGGTGTGAATCTGTGTCGGTGAGTGATTGGGGATAACTGGTGAGGATAGGAGGAGTAGGCAAACCACATGACACTGTCCTTATGTTCCTCAAACCATTTCATCCATTTCCATTTCATCCCCATCTCCCCCCGGCCCGGATTCATGCTCCTGGCAAATCTAACCAACTCTTCCAGATTCAAATAAAGTTGAGACTAACCTAAGATCATGACTGTAGTATTACATGACGCAATGTTCCCACTATTATCTCTGACAGTATAGACGACCACATTGTTGCCAATATTGAGGGTGGGTGACGGCCCACACGGGTTAGTAGTAACTGTCAAGTTTGTCACAGAATTATCGCTTGTGGTAGGGGCTGGCAGACTGACAATGGCATAGGCCTGTCCATCATTGGTGTTATTACTGAAGTCAGCTGGGCACGTGATGACTGGATCTTCGACATCTGAATGGAAAGGATACGAAATCATTACTCTGAGACGGTGCTTGCAGATCTTCTGCCTGATGTACTAATCAGCCTGGCCTGGAGGTGATGTTTTTGAGCAAGATCACGTGCAGCAATAGTTCACTCCGTAAAGAGGCAAAGACTGACCAGAAAAAGAAAAGGCGTGACCATTGGCTGGCAGTGTCACTAGCACAAACTAAACCTGACTGCTACTTGTCTGAACCTTCCTTAGCATGTCACATTGACTTTGCAGTAAGCTGAAGTATAAACCGACTGAATGGCTAATTTCTACACATGACTCCTGCATGCTCAGAGTCTTTGACAATTACAAACAAATTCTAACTTTCCACAAAACATGCTCATGTGTGAAATAAGAATCATGTAATATACAAAGCTTTAGCAAGTGAGCTTGCCAACCTAAGCAATTTTGAGACTGCTCAATCTCAAAATGAGATGAGTTTTCTGCACTGAAGTTAGAACATACCTATTACTTCCACAGTGAATTTACACGTGGCCACATTTCCAACCGCATCCTCAGCAGTGTACATAACCTATTTTGATTTCAAAAAGGGGTAAAAAAAAAGAAGGTGCAACTGCAATAAACAGTGTTCCAACAAACCATGTTAGGAAAACGACAAGGTGTTTTATATGATTACATTGTGTTCATAACTTTAGAAAAGAAAAGAACTTGACCTGAGCTGGATTTGAACTAGTGATCTCTGATAATCCCCTACTGGTGCTCTTCCAACGGAGCTATCTAGCCCTGCTCCTCCAATTTGTCAATATATTTGATTGAGACTGCCAGTCAGAAACGGTGAATTTCTGTTTGCAAATTTCAAGTAGACCATAAGCACTCTGGAGATGTGTAAACAGGTAAGGGGGAGTTTTCAACCAAACGGAAGTCGGGGGGGTCAGATGATTTTTGCAAACTTCTTCTGGGTCAGTGCATACACACAAATGTGACTGCTCTCATTAGAATGCCTATGACAGATCTAGAGACACCACGGCTGATATGACACAACAGAAATCTGACCATTAATGGAAGGCCGAGCGGCTTGGGTATTTGTGGCTAATACTGCCGGAGGCTGCCAAGACTGTCTAACTGTAACGTATTCGCATAGAGGCTTATAGAGCATGACACTATAGTCTTCACGTGTAGCACCAGTCTCTCTATTCCCTCAGAACACACACACGGCAACAAAAAGTCCTGAAAAGATTAAAATTGGCCAACTGTGGCAACTACTGCTCCAACAACTTCCAACAAACCCTTACCTAGCTCTCTGTAATTGGCCCAACATTCATAAACTAATCATACAATATGTAATTAACGAGAGGATCCACTACAAAAACATGACAATGAAATTTTTGAATCAAGGTACAAGACTCAAAAAATCATGTGTTATCTCAATTAATAAAGCGGCCAACATGCTCAAAACTTAAATCTGTCTTGAAATTTTGAGCATCTTTGTCACTTTTAAAGCAACAAAAATCAACATACCACAAAATTGCTAATTCTGCTGATTTTGGGATCTAACATCATTCTCAGCTCCTGAAATTAAAGTGTGTGTCACTATCATAGCCTATGGTGGGATAGCGAGGGAGAGAAACCAGGGTATTTCTACTCGGCATCTTTGCTGAAAGGTATACACAGGTTTTTTTTCACCAGTCATCCAGCCTCCGAAAAACTGAAGTTGGGGGACAGCTTGACTATAATCATCTTCAAATGATGGAGCCATTCAAAGCAAACATATCAGACAATAGACAACACCCTGCTTGCTGCACAATTTCCAACATTCAATGCAACATTAGTAAATAGCAACACATTAAAAGGATACTGGTAAACAAGGGGACATGTACATGTAAGTGTAACGGAAGTTTATGTAGAAAGAGGGAATCTGTAACAAAATCCCGGAGGGAAAAATTTGGCACTTATTGGGAAAAAGAACACTTTTCGCAAACTATTTCCGGGACAATATCGACCTCATCCAGTCAACCCCTCCTGGCTGTTGCCCCCTCAAAGATTTGTCCAGGCTTAATTGCTTGGCCTGCAGATGGAGAGCCGAATTAGCCCCTTGGAGACACCTCCATTTTGAGGAGAGAGAAAAACAACAGCTCACTTACCACATAAGTTCCAATCAATAGCGATGTATTGGCCTGTATGTTAGAGGTCACGGTGGGTGGCTCAAGTGAGTTATCGGAGGTAGTTGGCGAGACCCATGTCACCACAGCGCTGGACATATTCATGGTGGCATTTTGTTGGATGTCACCAGGACATCCAGCGAATACAGGTGGCTGTGTATCTGAGTGATTAAACGCATTGCAAAACAAATATGTGTGCCATCTAAGGGGGAACTTGGGCCAGTGGAACATATGAACAGCAAGATGTAGGTACAGACATAATAACACACTTTAATGAACTGCACTGTCCTTTGAGGATTTCACTCACCAACATGCACCATGCCCCTACCAACCAAAACAAAGGCAAATTTAAGAGAGGGTGTGAAGAGGGGAAGATGAAGGGAGGAACAACTTTTTGAGACTATGTAAAATCCCTTCTTCTCAAAAGGATTTAGGAATCAGCCTGATAGTTAGCCTCACGCTGCATTTAGACCATAAGTATTCTAGAAGGTGTTCAGAAACAAGCTACCAATTTCATGCTTCACTACCCTGCCTTGGATTACAAATCACACCTACTTAAACTCGAGTTGCTACCATTGTCTTACAGAGGAGAAATCCAGGATCTTTTGTTCTTTTTTATATGCAAGGCTGGTCTTTATGACACAACTTTTGATACTTTTGTCCAGTTTAAGTTTACACAGGGCCATCCTACGGCAAGACTATCTTCCGATCCATTTAATTTATCCATTCCCCAAAATAATTCCGAGTCTCACAAAGCCTTTTATTTTCAGCATATTGTTAACACATGGAACCAACTTCCTTCTACAGCCAGATCAAATTCTTCATTTTTATCTTTCAAGACCCAAATTTTAGAATTTTACATGACAAAGTTCAGCTCTAGCTTTGAATCCGATAATGTATGTGCTTGGGTGTCCAACTCTCGATGTGCAGACTGCAGATATTAACAAATTCTCACTTTTCTTATTTTCTTTGTTCATTTTCTACCAGTCTTTTCCACCTCATTTTTTTTTGTGGGGGGGGTTGTCACATGGTAGAATTGGCTCTGTAGAAGTGCTGGTCACCTCTTCCATCTTGCCATTCACTGGCTTTTTAAGCATATTCTTTTTATAAATCGTCATCTGTTTGTTGTTGTGGCATGTCAATTGTTTTGTTATGTTTTTAATGTATTTAATTTTTGGTTTAATAGCCAGTGGAAAAGTGTAATAAAACAAAAATAAAATAAGAAAGAAATCCTCAATATTTTTTCACCCTCAAACATGTTTCATTCTGGTTCCACCATTGGTTCATGGGTTTGCATGATGTGATCTGAAACCAATATTTTTCTACAGCCAAGAGAAGCCAGAGTGTGCCTGCAAAGCCTCTGGATGATGTCCTCCATAATGAAATAACAAAAGAGGTAGGCAGGTGGAATTTTAACAAAATCTGGAATCATCACACTGACAAAATTCCAACATCAGTGTGAGAAACAACTTGTTGTCAAAGTATGGCAATAGGACAAGATGTAATCTCGAACACGTTATTAAAAGACCGTGATCTGCAAGCTCCAAACAAATTTTAATTCAAAAACATTTATGGAGTTTCCTAGACAGGGTTTTTCCTACGCACCTATTTTCCTATTTCCTACACGTATTATCAGTTGACAGTTATAATTTTTCAACACTGATTAACATGTTTGTGGGTTGATACATTTTCAGTGAACTTCATCGATAAATAACCAAATCCATCCAAGCAATCCAAAAATGGGGTTCTCACCATTGAATTGTATGTTGACTTTAAACATACAGGTTCCAGAGTTCCCTGCAATATCGCTGGCTGAGCAGTTCACGGAGGTCAAGCCATACAAGAACAAAGACCCGCTCGCTGGAAAACACATGCTCTGGGTTGAAGTCAGGCTGTTGTCAAAGGCGGTGGGCAAAGGCCAGGTTGCTTGCGCACTGCCCAAAGGGCTGTTAGTGAATGCTGTGATGTCACCAGGGCAGGTGACACGTGGGCCTTCACGATCTAATGACAAATTAAGTCCCATGCAAAAGGCGTCAATGTTCCACGTGACCACACAGTGGTGTATTTAGTGAGGAAAGGGGACTTTTTTCGTGGGGGATGATGATTCTTTTACAGATGAAAATGTTGAACAGGAAGTTCTTTCAATTCCCCTTTTGCCATGTTGCCCCCTCCCTTCCCCACCCGACCCAAGAACCCACCCTTCTGAGGGATCACCTGTCATACACAAGCATTTGGTCAGCAACCATACATTGCACATAGTATACTTCACTAAACTTCATTTTCTCAATCAAATGGCATAACGTTCCCTACTTGTGCCATGTCGGTTGTTGTTATATTCTCATTTGATACTTTTGCCATTAGCACCGAAGGCTTGCCTTCTAAGTAAATTCTGCTGGCGGCATCATGTTCTTTACATTAGGTCATGTGCATGAGTGGAGATCCCAGAGGGGATTGGGATATCCCTCCCCCTTAACTTGGGGGATTACTAATGTAATAATCCTCCACTTTCAAGTCACTCACTTTACACGCACTCCTAATTGAAGTGGGGCCTTAGACCCTGTGCCGTGTCGGCACTCTGCACAAGGATAACCTTTCAGAAATAATTGAACCCCCACAAGTGACAAGAAATCTTCACTGATGGTCATGTGGATCAGCAAGGGTATCTGTACCAGACAGATACATTACAGCGTAGCGAAAGGAATATCGCTGCTTTGTTTTGAGAAACTTTTGCACATGAATTGCTTTTCTTATAACACGCTATTTTAAAAAAAGTGATGGGGAGCATTACATGTTTTAAAGACAATAAATATTCTACAAGATATCATTTTGGTAAGTGTAATCAAACAGGAATATATCAAGGAACACCCCGTAACTCTCAATTTCCAGTAGAATCAATGAAATGAGCTAAAGATCACAACTGTTTGGTATGTGTTGTGGATTTAAGGCACCAAATTTCTTTGTGAATGTCTTCTTTCCCAGCCAAGCTAAGGGATCATGAGGTTTTTATACTCAGGCAAGGCAGATTGAATTTACCTTCAACACAAATGATGAAGGTGCACCTGCCCTCGTTGTTGGCCCCATCTTGCACGACAAAGGTGACTGGATGCCGACCAATTAAGAAATGGTCCCCTGGTCTATCGGTCATGTACCACGTCACTGGGATATTGGAATTCTCGGTGACAATCGGAAGTGTGAAGTTCACACGTGCTGAACGTGATCCCTGGTCAGTGGGTACAGTCATGTTAGGCGGGCATTGAATGGAGGGAGGATCATCATCTTCAAAAGAGGATAAAACAATCATGCAATAACTTACCACAGGACAAAATTTACTTTCACGTAACTACCACGCACAAGTGCATAGCCCCAAAGTTCATGGTCATCAGTCAAAAGCATTTCCAAATTATGGGTTTACATTTGGGGTTTTGAGAGAACCTCGTACATAGATATATATCACCTGTGGGGCACCTGAGTAATTCTTCATTGTTTCATTGGTGAACAGTTGATCATGTGAGGAGAATCATTTGCCCTAACACGATGAATCACAACCGTAAAAAGTATGTTCTATCATTTATGCCAATTCTGGTAAAGATTCGTTGATAGAATCCTTACTTTGCAGAGTCGATCTCATTAACGGCAATGCAAAGCAGGTCTTCATACAGTTATGGCCCACTGTCCTTCCTCTTATTAATAAAGAACTCCTGTAAATGTGCCTCTAATACAAAGAAATAACCTGAATATACTTGCAAATGATTGCAACTTGCAAGACACACAGAAATGTCTATTGAAGCAGAAACTGATTCAGAATGAGGCTTCTTCTCATGACTTTAAGCAGGATGACAGAAGAAAACAGCCACATGCACATAAAGAGGATCTATCCAGGTGTTGTTTCAACCAATAATTAATGTTTCACATTTTCTCAATAGAGAGAACATGTTTCATGTGGTGACAGATCTAATGTTCAGTCCTTGTGTGGACTTATTCTTACTGCTCCACTCAAACGCATCCTTTCTTTGTAAATCATTTTTCATTAGCATTTACCACAGCTAGTAAATTGTGTTTGGCATGAAACCAAAAAGTAAAACAAAGACCAGTTACCGAAAACTGTGACCAGGAAAGAGCAGGTGCCCCTATTGTTTGCGGCATCTGTCACAGTGTACTGAACGCTGTGGGTCCCAATAGGGAACTGCGAGTTCGGCTGGGCAGTCGATGTCATCTGCACTTGTCCCGTCGGGCTAAGCACAGTCGGCAGACTCCAGTTGCTGACTGCATAAGCTTGGCCGTCATCCGTGCCCATGTTGATGTTGGCCGGACACAACACTTGAAGGACCCTTCGGGGTGGAGCAACTGAATGTATCCAAGGTGGTTTGGAAAATAATGCAGTACTCTGAGTTGATTCAAGCTTAGCTTGAGCACAGTCCAACAAGATACCATATATGCACTTTCTTATACTAGAGAAGTGGATGCATTGGGCAAATCACAGCACCCTATTGGTCACAGAGGGATACTTAATGTGTGTACCACTACAGTTACGGCTGTTACTAACTCTGATTGCTGCCAGTGGCATAGCTAGGATTGTTCAATATCCATGCCTCCCTTTTTTTAGAGGGGGGCACCTGGGAGGGCACCAGGAATTTGTGGGGGGCACGTGCCCCCCAGGCCCCCCTCCCGGGCTATGCCACTGGTTGCTGTGGACTGTTGGTCTGTAAATAAAGGTCAACAACTCACTTCAGACAACCATGACACTCTAAGCAAAGTAAACTGCATATTAAAGCTATGTCCAAATAAGTATGTTGGGTGCAACAGGGAAGAAGTAATCTCACATCACAACTGAATTTCTTAGTACAATGAACAATGGCATGGTTGTGGATAAAGGTTTGTCACACTACATCACCTATGTATTGACAGAGTGAAAGTGACGTTGCCACATTAGAGTGAAAGTGGCGTCCCAAAATAAACTGATACCTAGAAATGAATATGCTTGTATTATACACATTAATCCTAAAATATAAGGGTTTACATTATGTTTTACTTATATGATACAGGACAGATTGAAAACAAAGGGAACAAGCAATGTTTTCTTTTCCTTGTTGGTTATTCCATTGTCCTCATGAACTTTAATTGGTTCGGGGAGTGTTATACCCTGCAGGAACAATAGCAAACAACGTTCGGTGGAAGAGTCAAACATGACAGCATGTAACTAATTACAGTATGATTACAGTGGGTGGACGGACACGTACATGTATGCTGAGGTTTGACTGCCCTGGTGTTACCAACATGACATATCTAACTTGAGGGAGTGGCGATGTAAAACATGTTTGATGTGTGCAGTAACAATCAAGACACACATGTACCTGTAGGCCTAGGTTGTGTTGGTGCTCTGGTGACAGTAGTGGTAACAACTGTGGTGGTTGCTGTCAGAACAAAAAGGGAAAAAAAGAAGAAGAAGGGTACATTTATAAGGAATATGTGATGGATTACATGGTAAATCTGGCGCTACACACGTCTTTATAGCTATGAACAGAAACAATCGCTGGTCATTTAACTGTGAGAAACCTCCTCACACAAAAGCTGTTGCTTGAAATTTCTGGTCAAAATTACAGTGATGCTAAAGGGAAAAGTTTCTTAAGCCTTAATTGAGTGAAAAATGCACCAAATGACCTTAAAATGATTCTGATGTTCCATCTAAGGTCAACATCCAGAATGCACTAACTTTTTACCCTTAACACACTGACTGCCTATTACAGATGTACAGCGCATGCCAACTTGAGCGAAGTACACATGTGGGCATGTGGAGGACACTTCAATTCTGAGTGCATTATGATGAATACAATTGTGAGCTAACTCCTAGCTATAGCAGTGGCATGGAGTTGACCAACCGCTATGCCAGTTATAAGTTATCTCATGTAACATTAATGCCGTTGCTCGTGCCCTGGCAGAGCACCGACTTTTCAAACAGTCTGTTGAATGTTTCCCAAATGTGAAATGAAATAAAGCATATCTACTGGTGAAAATACATATCTGCCTTTAAATATTAATGTTAATTAAGCAGTTAAAACAGAAGTCTGTGAGAAATAGAATCTGAAACACAATCACGATAAGAAAAATATTGTTCTCTGCCAGGGGTTTATTTCTAAGGCTTGCAGCACTTCCAGTGCATTCTTACTACAGTTTAAAACCTGTTCATTTACCACAAGAATACTTGTGTTAACAGAAGCCTATTTAGGACACCACCATACATTCTGCATGGACAAACCCCTATATATAGCATCACAACGGTGATATCCATCATCTAAGTTAATCACTGTTCACCAGATTCAAGTGAAAGACCCAGAAAAGGTTCTTGGCACTTGATAAAAACAGAACATAGAGAGGTTGAGAACAATTTGTCATTATTTTCAAGCATGAGAAATCCCCTCTGCAAATGACAACCTGACACATGCAAGTCACATGCTCACGATAAAACAGGTAGTATAAGTATGAATCACAATACCCTAAAACACCAATAAAGTGACAGGCATGCATGTCGTTGTTGCAGTAAACACATGACATTGTTATAATACTGTTTAATGTACCGTATTACCTTGTGTTGCAGGTTCTGTTGAGGAATCTGTGAATGAATCAAATGAAAGGGTCAATTTAAGATCATGAAGAAAAAGATAAAAGTCTGAAAACAAAGAAATTTATAGAATATTGCTTAAATTGCCACTATTGTTGACAACATATTAACTGTCCACAATTAAAGTCTGCAGATTTACATATTTGCAATTTGTATCGAAATCTAAATCAATTTATCAGTTGAAAAACTTATCATTTGAATCAATTTTTAGATTTGATGCACCAATAAAATTTGTGAATAAAGGTTTCCCTTTCAGGCGGTGCAAGAGAATGACTGGACACTTAGACCCAAACTTGTAACATTTATAGTGTTTGCAGAAAGGGAAAACTGAAGAACATGCATTGTAAAGACGCTCAATGTATTTCTCTTTTGCATATTTTTGAAAATTAGCACATAGAAAACTCACCCCTTCAATCAACTGACACCGTAATTCAAAATTGAACAATAAATGGACTTAAAAATAACCATAACTAGGGGCCCAATAACAATTAAGCTTTGTTTACGGACTGTTTTCCTCCATGAAGAAAATTTCCTCTATTTCAGTGGGCAGTGACTCAGTCCAACACCTCCCCCCCCCGTCCACTAATAGGTGAACTTACTTGGCAAGACGACTCCAAAGATGACAGCCAAAGGAACGCCGATGATAAGAGCTAGGATAACAACAGTGACGGCCACCACTGCCAAGATAAGAAGCCAGGAAAATCCAGCAGAAGGCTCACCAGCCCTGAACTTAGGTCTGTTGTTTGCATGGAGGGCCTTGGGACCACGGTGAAAATTCCTGGGGGGGAAAAAAATAAAAATTGAAAGACTGATGTCAATGTTTCGTAAGTTGACTATGCTTGAAAATTTGATGGAGTGGTAACTGTATAATAGTGGGACGAACCTCTATTTTGAATGCTGGCTTATATGACATTGAGCAGAAGCAATAGATGGAAAGGCTTGCAGTAGCACCATGAAAAGGAATATATCTCTTATGAGTATGTGTGGTTCTGAAAAGAACCAGGAGTATGCTCAACGTCTCTCACTGCGTGCTCAGTCTGTCGCCAGGAGACTGAAGAGATGCTGATGATGAAGCTGTTTATATAAGGTGACTGGATTTGGATGCAGCTTCATCATCAGCATCTCTTCAGTCTCCTGGCGACAGACTGAGCACGCAGTCCGAAATGTCGAATATACTCCCGGTTCTTTTCAGAACCACACATACTCTTAAGAGGTGTATTCCTTCACATGGTGCAACCGCAAGCCTTTCTACCCATTGCTGCCTTTCACCATGAATAGCCTGAAATTCCAATTGAGCAGAAGGCCCATATATTTTTTTTCTTATCAATTTGGGAGAAGGTTTTTCATTTGGATTTGGGTTTGGTTTTTACTGTCCGTTTCTTTTTTTCTGGTAGAATTCACTGTACTGTGGTTTAAAACCGCAAAGATATATGATTACAAGATTATTACAGCTGTGACGGAAAGTGTACA